GAAATCATCGAAGCATTTCTGCTTATTGGCAAGCGCGCCTGATTTATGCCATTCCTCACCATACTCTCCACCACCACGGATATTTGCAAAACAGAACACAGCACCAAGATGCCTACTAAGCACAATACGAGTTGCACTGAAAAACGGCGTCATGCTTGCACTAAACCCGCCATATGCATAGAGCAAACAAGGGTGTGATCCATCTAGCTCTATATCTTTTCTAGCCACTATAAACATTGGTATCTTTGTTCCGTCCTTACTCGGATAAAAGACCTGTAAAACATATTTATGGAGATATGGATTCAAAACAAAGTAAAGTCGGTTTTGCAGATTCAAAGCTTGTAATGGATAAATCATTTACATTTACCTGAGTGACTTGAAATGCTGTTCTATCGAATCCAGGTACAGCGATTTCACGGAATACCGTAACTTCTGGAGCTTCATTGGATAAGTCACATTTGTAGATCACGCCAGGAGTAAGGAAGCTTGTAAACCTAAAGAAAAAAGTGGTGTCTTTACGCCGAGCAAAAACTCCACCTACCGAACCAATATCTACAGGTAATCTGTGAAGCAATGAACCGGATTTCAAGTCTCTAATCTGCAGGATGTGTTTTACATCGCTCATGTAGCTCACAACAAGCTGATTTCCATTAACTACACAAGCTGTTGAGAGGACATCTTTCTCGTGTTCTGCAATAACATCAGTCCAATTGCTCGGTTCCTTGAGATCAACCCGAACTAACTTGTACTTTGGAGCATCTTTGTTGGTAAAGAAAGTAAACAATGTCTCGTCGTTTGCGATAGCAATGTACTGTGCGTCAAATGTGTCGATAAGCTTAACAAACGGAAGCAGGGCGTTGCTTCCTCGAAAACCTTCTAGACCATGAGGAAGTGATGAGAGATCACAGTGATAAACTTTGTTTACAGGGTCACAGCCTTCTTCAATTGTCATGATTAAGTACTGCATTAAGAAAAACATAACAGTGGGATTCAGAAAAAAACCCAAAAGTTAGACTACTAACTCAGAAATGGTTGGCTTTACCTTCCCATCATCAGTGACTTTAGATCCAAACATATGCTTGGGATTCTCTTGGTCTCTCCAGCATAACACATCTTCGGATTGATCCGTCCCAAGGAAATGGTAGTATAATTCATGGTAAAGGTTAGAATTAGTCTCTGTGCCAGCATCTATCTTCTCTCCCTCTCTGCAGCAACAAAACACAATCAGAAACAGTAATAAAGAACAAAAAAAACTCATCTTTTCAAACCATTTCCTCAAAAGTTTCCTAGTCAAAACACAAGACTCACTGTGGAGCTGGATAACGACTGTAGAAAAACCCTTTCCCATCATGTGTCCACGTAATTCCACTAAACTTAACCTGAATTCCACAAAAACAAAAACAGATTCATAGTCAAAGCTGAAAACTAATTAAAGAGTAATTCAATTTGAAGAAAGCTTACCCAAAATAAAGTATCAAGCTCCACTTTCTTATCTTCAACCTCCATCACTTTAATCGTTACCCAATCACTACCACTCGAGCTAAGCCCATAGGCCAAATACTTGGCATCCTCACTGATACTTAAAGAGCTTAAAGAAACTGTTCCATCATCACTAAGAGTATTGGGATCAAGCAAAATCTCTGCTTCAGAATCCAAATCATCCTGAAAACCCAATTTTAAAATCATGAAGTCGATCAACAAAATTGGAGATTCAAATAGAGTTTAATAAAAAAATATGATTGTATGCTTCAGATTACCTGAATATAAAGCACACTCTGAGCTTGAAGACCTGTATTATGGAAGTAAAAGTAACTGTTCCCTCGCTTAAAGGGCGTATCGTAGCGAGGATGATCAATAAGCTTTGTGATTTTCTCATGAAGCTTCTCCTTGGTTTCGCAAGTTTTCAACACTGAATCCGACAGTTTCACTTGCTTCTCTACAAATTCCTTCACTTCTTCAGCGTCAGGATCTTCCAGCCTAACAGAGAACCAACAAATTAATTTGTTAACCGAAAGTTAACCGAAGCAAATTACGATTGTCCCAAACCAGTACACGGTTGATGTAAAACAAACAACAATTATGAGCAAACAGACAAAAATTGGTCCATAAATGGGCCAACTTTTTAAAATAATTGGTCCAGTGGCCCAAAATATATATAAAGCTGGTCCAAAACAAAGCTCGGTAATCTTAAAAGTTAAAAATCCCATTTCATACAGAAAAAGAAAACAAAAAATAGCTTCGGGCAAAACAGCACAACATTCAAAACTCTCCGGTAAGACGAATATCCGTGAATTTTTTTTTTATTTTTCTTTCTCTGTGATATCAATAGGAGTAAACTCAATAACGTCATGAAGTAATGGAAATGCAAATGCAAACGCTTAATTTATACCAACGGTAAGGATCGGCGACTTTAACGCCGTGATAATCATCAACGATGGACTCATCCCGCCTCGCCGTCGGATACTGTAACCGCTCCACGAACGCCGAGAGAGATCCCATTATACAATTAACTTAAAACAAATCTCCGACGCAGAAATGGAAGAAGAAAAACAGAGTCACTTAATCAAGCCAAGTAGTAATTGGCTTTTAAGTTTCGTGGAGTTGAAGGAAGAAAATAAGAAATAGCGTCGATTAGGTATTTATAAGGAAAGCAGCGCGTGCGATTGAGATGAGATGTTTGGTTGAAGATGAAAGATGAGAATAAGGAAACGTGAGAAAATGGAAATAGCGCGCGCGTGAGAGATGATGCATCGAGTATCCCGTTATGTCGAAATTGTTTCGTGAATCTGTCGACATTTTTGGATGATGTCGCCATTTTTTTTCTAAAAAAAAGAAAATTGTAATTTACACAAACTTTTTGCTCCCTTTAATGCATAATCATGTGTAGAGATGGGTATTGCCAAAAGAAGAAAAATCCATTTGTACAGATTGTATTTACTGTTTTTTTGGGTTTTATTGTTTAGTTTGTTGTATTTTAATATATTATGTAGAAAAACATAAAATGGAAAACTATGTATAAATAAAATTCGATTCGTATAAAATTGATATTTTGAGTCTTACCACCTACAACATCTGTCAACACAGCGGAGTAGTCAATGCATGTGAGTAGAGTAACCAAACTAAATCCATATGATCGTACGTACATTATAATTTATATGTATAGTACACTATTCAATAATATTTTGGCATTTTACTATGTTCAGCCACCCAAATTCAATTATTATAAGAACATCTCCATTAGTGTTATTCTGAGTCTTTTAGAAATAGTTTAATATTTTTTTTGAGAGAGAAAAAAAATTAAAACATTAAAAGCAAAAAAAATATCCAACCAATCACAACCTTCCACCTGGCGTAAAAAACAGTCTCTTTATCTCTTATATAAAGAGTGATCCATCAAAATTTTGGAAAAACACCTAAGTTTTTGTGTCAAAATCTGGGTAAAAGACCTTAATGGAGATGCTCTAAACTTAGGTGTTAAATCTGGGTAAAAGACCCTAATGGAGATGCTCTAAACTTTTCCATTGTTATTCTATCTTAGACATATTCATGACTTATCAACGTCGCAGCCACAGATAAAGTATGACTGTATGAGAATTCAACTTAAAACAAATTGTGTTTTATTTATTTTATATTTTGTTTCCATTTATTTAATCGGTTGTTTTATTAAGATACATTTTATACTCCTATGTGATACATCTTTTTAATCGTTTCAATTTGAAATAATGTTAGATGAGTGCGTGATCGGTTAGCTTAAGTCATGTAAGCTACTTTGTTTGTTTTTTCCAACTTTTTCTTAAGAGTTTTACCAAATTCATCAGAAAAGACAAATATAGTGGCACGGGTAGTAGATTCGCATATCCTTTGAAATCTGCTTTATGTTAACATTTTACTTATTCTATACAAAAATCGAAGCCAAGTGTAGATGCATATCGAATCATGCTGTTATATACATGGCTTCCATTTACACATTAAGGTTGGGACCATTTTTTTAATTCAAAAGTAAGCCCAGCTAATTTTCTAAAAAAAGAAATTGTTATATCTAACCATTCTTTGTGTAAGTCATTTGGTCAAGATATTAAAGGTTTTAAAGGTTTCTATACCACTTCAAATTTGAGGTTCGATTCATGGAAAATACACTCTCTACGGATTCATGGAAAATACACTTTCTAATGATACAATATACAATAAAAAAAAATTAACTATTTTTACTGATAATTAAAAGCCTTTGATATTGATGTAAGTATGTAACACATACAATACAATAAAATCTAACAGTCATTAAAGTAAAGTTGTATTACAATAAGTCGTAACCGGAATGTGTAAGTCGGGTTTAAGGCCCATTTTATTAAAACCCAGTAAATTTTATTCCTGTAACGACGATGTTTGATTGATGGTACAAGTCGATCACCTTCTTCACCATACTTTCATTACTATATATCAACAATCAACTCATAATTATAATGAAAGATTCATTGGATTGTTTTTATTTATTCGATATACGCTGGTTGAGTTTATCGTTTATGCTCTTAAAAGACCTTATGTACGTGTTTGAATGTTTAAGACCCATTTTAAGTTCATATGTTTACAATGCGTTGTAAAAGTCTTTCAAAGCCCATTCTGAGTCGAAGTCACTAAATTTAATGTTCGTTCCAGCTGAAGTAATAATGTTCATATGATTAATTAATTAATTGATGATAACTAGTCCTTTTTTAAGGTAGAAATTCAGATTTCCTTTCGAGATAGATCATCTAGAGTACAAGGAAGTGCTAAAAGTAGGAGTTTTGACTTCGTTTTCATAACTTCACAAAACTTAAAAAAATCTCGAAAAAAGTCGGTTACTAAAATCTTTTACGTGAATCTTATGTATAAGTATAACCCCCCCGATACATATTAAATCCGCAAACTGGTTCTCCCTCACAGATCGAGCGATTGTTGATTACAATAATACCGAAACATTCTTAGAAAACTTTTAACAAAGAGAAAAATATTTATATGTAGGAGAGTGTCATGAATAACCAATGATTTGGAATTTTAAGCTTGATAAGTCGAATCTCTTTTATGATATCATCACCTCATTCTTCACCTCTTCCTTGATCAAGTATTAGAGCAATATCATTGTACAAATTTTTACAGATTTAAAAGATTCACCAACGACCACCGTGTCGTAATTAATGAAAAATTTGTAACCAATAGCCTCTCTCTTATTGGAGCTCCATGCAAACTTACAAAACTCATCGTCGCAAATTTTGTAGTGCTGCATTCACCTTCATTCACCTTGATTAAAAAATAAAACTTAGATATGAGTTTTGAAGCACTTTTTTTTTTCTTGAGAAACCAATATTTATTACTTAGAACATTATATTTCTGTGTTGCAGCTCATCGCTTATAACACTGAGACTCAAAGTGTGGAGGATTTTATGATCTGATAATAACAACCAAAAATACCAAACTAACTAGATCTCTACAAACTTGGTTTCTTTGACCAAATAACTATTTATCATGAGTTAATCAAGAGAAATTATCAAATATAATTTGGCTAACACCCCAAAGCTCGAACCCAAGTAAAAATACACAACCCTAGGAAAATTAAGGCACATAATCAAAATATATCCGTCTACTAACCAGCATTGCAAATATCATCAAAATATGATAGACACGAAACCCCTCATATATACACAAACACGCAAGTCATTTTAATTCGATGTACATTGGATCCCCTCATATGTCATATATACACCTAAAGATTTTAATAAACGTATGAGCTGCGTGTTTTGGCTATATAAGATCTTAAAGAACCATGATCAAGCAACAAATCTTAGCGGAAACGCAAGAAAATCAAGCAAGTTATGTATGATAAAAATAAAGCAAGCAAGTTATAAACTTGAACATATAGGTCAGGTCAAAAATGATACCAAATGAAGGAGTACACGTAATCTCTACTACTGTTTCTTCAACTTCAAATAAAATAAGGGAACATCATAATAACATCGTGGACTTCAAAACAAGATGCTTCTCTTTTCCCCCATTACTATGTTCTCAAAGTAAATCAAAACCTCTGTTACCTTTTTGGAGTTCTGGGTCCTTCTCTTTATCCCAGTGTTTAAACTTTTTTCTAGAAGACATTAAATTTCACTCATTAGTCAACCTTCCCACGATATTGTCCAAAGGTTTTATATCAGGAAAGAGGAAAAAAAACGAAGGTTACATATGGTTTTTGTAAAAGAAAAAAATCATATATACCATAATCAAGAAAGGTATACTATTGATCTAGATCAAAATAAAAGAACTCAGACAAGGATCAATATTAAAACCGACTTTACATATGAACTCAGATAAAAAAGGGAGCAAGAGAATCATAGATGAGAGAATCAATAGAATAGTTATATCTGAAAATTACCCCAGATCGAGCCCTGTCGTTGCCAAGTAACAGACTCACCCTATTCAGGACATTGATAAAGTTATGTATATATATCAAGAAGGTTTTACGAAGAAACCCTAACAGATGTCTATTGGCAGTATGCACACCTCCCTCTTTAAAACACAATACATACATATATACAGGTATACAGGATACACTTATTTACATAGAAGGAGGTGGACAGAATGCCAAAGAAATCTGTAAGAAACTCTTTGTCAAACCCTCATGACAGGAAAAGAATAAAAATTTAAAGATCCAAATGTTTTTTTCCCAGTGTTTCATTCAGGAACCCATATGATGAAATCGTATTCACCACATGGAGAGAGATACACAGATCTCTTTCTCTTGTAGTAGATGGTATAGTTATGTGAGAGAAGAAAGGTGTAGGCATATTTATTGAAGAGAAAATGAGGAAGAGAGAGAAAGGTAGAGGAAGAGGAGGACAGTCTCCGAGAGGCAGATGGGTTGTCTTTATGGTGCTTAGCTTGGCTTGAACTAAAAACCCTAGGTGGGTTGTAATGGAATAAGAAGATCGGTAGGAATTGAAATGACTACAGATCCACCAACATTAACAGAAAATCGTGGAAGAGAGATTAGAAAGAGAAAAAAACAAAATGAGGAAAATAAAATATATGTGGCTATTAACCATATATGTATTATTGGTTTATCTTGGTTAAGCTTCCATTTACTTAACCATATAACCATCTTGTATATATATGTATCAAACACATTTACAGAGAATTAATGAGAATGAGTTTCCCCTTCTCTCTCTAGTTAATAGTGGCTTTCTCGGAAAAATAAACTCATTTCTTTGTTGTAAAAGCGACTTTGAATAGTTTTCATCGTTGTTTCTTCACCAAACAAAAATAGTTAGCAACTTTTCAAACGGGGTTTACCTTTGCGCCTACCGTTTCCGTTTTCTTTTCTTTCTCTAATTTCTTTTTTCACCCTTTAATTTCTTGGATAAAAGAAATGTTGACGTCAGCAAAAGGGTGACCCAAAATTTTAAAATAACAACAGTCAACAGGTATAAAAATATGAGAATTTAAATTATTTATCATTACCGCTTCAACTTTTTACGAATTTTAATAACTTATTCGAGTATGTTTTTTTAAAAAAAAAAAAAAATAGTAATGGACTAATTAATGATGACTTTAAAGCTATCTCATTTTTGGCTGAAATATCAAAACAACTGGTTCAGCAATTTTGTTGTCTCGTTTTTCACCCAACTCATTGTCAAGACCGGAAGAGCATACAAATGAACAAATAGAATGTTGGAATCTAAATTGTATCGAATTTTATCGAATTTTAAAGTCTGATCGTAGTATTCACTACTTCGAGACTGAAAATGGATATTTTCAAATCATAACTAATTTTTTTGAACGTCACTGAAAAATATATACTACCTATACAAACGTTGCAAGACTAACAAAAAAATAATTAATTAGTATACAAACTAAACATGAATATATTGTGTGACTAATATAAATTATCATTCATTATTATATTATCAGATTTTGCGTGAGTACCATGCATGTGATGTCGTCACGTTGTCACGTTGATCAGTGATCACTACAACCGTTACTAACAAATTAATTACTATTAAAATGATCAATAGTAACGTAAATAAATCCGAAGTTACGGAATCGATATGTACCTGACCATGTACACGTTGCAGTTTATTTCAATGCAGAAGAAACGGAGAATAATGTTTTAATATTGTTTAGGGGTTAGCATAATATGGCGAATTATATTAATGTGAATTTCACAAAGTTCTGATCACTTCTGGTTTTTGCGACGGTACGAGACAACTTCCGATTGAGGGGGTCCATTTACAAGTCCACTAGAGGGGAGTGGATTACAGAATCCAAAGCTAAGGGTTAATTGACATAAATTAACTATGTCTAGGGCTCATTAAAGAAGGGTAAATCTTCTAGGATTAAAAAGGATCAATCTCTTCACTCTTTTTATCGAGATGGTCAGTCTCTATTATTATACTATTATAAGAAGAAACAATTGGAACGTCACAGATTAGTAATGGGAATTAAAACATCTTCCCTACCGTCGATTGATATGTCGCACTCATCACTACCACCACGACCTTCTTAATTATCCTTTATTCTTCTAGGGGTCTAGACAATTTTGCTTCGACGAATCCCTACATTTTTTGTTTATAAGTATTTTAACTATTTTCACACAAAACATTTATATGAATACACTCCCATAAAAAATTAATTATCCTTTATTCTTCTAGGGGTCTAGACAATTTTGCTTCGACGAATCCCTACATTTTTTGTTTATAAGTATTTTAACTATTTTCACACAAAACATTTATATGAACACACTCCCATAAAAATGGAGTTATAAATTCGTATGAACAATAATAGATCCATCTTTTAAAGTAATTAATAACAGCACCGACTAATAATACTACTCCCTCACTATTTAATGCCTCAAATCTATCCCCGCTACTATTTTATGCCATCAACCCTCCGATGCAATTTAAATTCACAGTTTTTTTCTTTGTTTTTTGAAAAATTTACTCAAAACATTTACTGTATACTTTTGTTTTCTTCCTGTACTATCAAATTACACCACAGAACCATTGCATTTTTATTTGTGACAGGTAGAAGTAGAACTATATATACGAATCTCCTTAACATAATAACATGTAATCACAGTATTGTAAGATCTAAAACCAACAAGTATGAGAGATATATGTGTAGTGGTTAAGTAGAAATGTATAGCAATGTTTTCTTTTAATAGACTCCTCTCACTGTTGCGTCTGTCTTTGATTTGATTTTTCTTATTATTGAAATAGGGTTTAAACGTTGAATCTGAGAACAACCTATCCCTATGGTGGAATGGGTTTGATATTTATTTGCATTCAATGATAATCAATGTAAATAACTGAAACCTCGGGTTTGTCGGGTTGTGAAGGTGTCAGTGTATGATTGAATCATTTAATAAATGTTTCAAATTTCTGCTTTCCAGACAATTACAGGCTATTGGGTTCGACATATGTATTGTAAGCTTTTAATTTTTACATTCAAGCTTATAAACAAATAGGTTTTTACATTTAAAAAAAAAAAGTAAAACCTATTTGTATCATCCTTTTTTCCCGAATATTTGTATCCCTTTTTAAAAGACTCTTTTCTGTGTGATATATATTCTATACAATAATCCCAATATGCATGGTTCTATCCTTAATTTCCAAGTAGTTTGCAAGGAAAAGTGAACATTGTAAACTCTTTTTCGTCATAGAAATGTGTAACGTTGTAATAAAATGTCAGTTGAGTTCTACAAAATAGTACATAACAAAGAAATATAGTACATCCTGAATGCTCAATCGGTTTGATTCCATGCCACAAACCGGGGAATGGTCGATACATATGCACCTAAAGGTTCAGTTCGTTCGATTCAATAAATATTTGGGTAAAAAGGTTGGTGAAAGTTGATTTAGTGGATCAAGATACTAATAATAAAAAAAACAACATTATAAGTCGCCCGGGCAAATCATAATTATGTTTTGGCGAATTTATTCTCTTCTTTTCACTTTTTCCATTATGCATGCGTAGACACTCTCTCATGCATACCATCATCATTATCGTAATTTACAAGAATTATCAGGTGTATTAATTCCAATCCATGAACCAAAGATTGATGATTACAATTTTATATACTATTTAATTATGTACACTGTATAAGACTTCGCTTATATGTCATACATTGCCTTGCTTAAAGTCCAGTTGGAAAAAAAAAAGTCCAGTTGGAAATTTTCGTACAAAAAGTGAAATCAGAAAATATTATACTCGATTCACATCCTTAAAAAAAGGAATATTTACCCACAAACTATCTGTTTTTGTATGGTTAGATGGATGTGGTTAATCTTATTTTAAAAAGATGAATAAGATGATTTTTTTTTTCAGTTGGAAAGATATTGTGAGATTCCATGATTAAAACTTGGCTTTGATTGGTAACTTTGCGGAATGGCGGAATTGCGGAAAAAATCTTGCGGAATAGATTAAGCGATTTATAAGTCGCTTTTATGCGGAATGACTTTTCCTTTGTATTTTTGTTAAGCAAAAACGTAGTCTGCGTTTTTGTGTGTATTTTTTCATTACGCGAATTTTTGTTGCACAATTCCACCATTCTGCAGGTTACCAATCAGAGCCCTTGTGAGGTTCAATTTCACCTGGTGGAGCCGTGGAGGGGGAGTTTACTGAATAATTTGATTTTGTTCTTACTGACCATTTTAAATCCAAATTAATATTTTTAAAAACAATTCAGAGAAAAACGAAGAAGATAAAGAATGGAAAAGACAGTGTTGGGTTGGGTCGAATGTCAAGTGATAAGATGTCACAAAAGATCGGCTTTTTTTGTTATAAAATTTCAAAATAGGAATCATGAAGTCCCATGACTCTATAGTATTCACATCACTCACTTTTGGGTATGCTTGACTAGTATATTATGTTTTCATTTTCTAAGATTTCAATTGCCCATGGTTTAACAAGAATATCCACCTAGGCCTAATTAGAATTGCTTTTATCTCCGTAACTATACGAAACAAAACAATTAGTAAGACTGAAATATTTACGGCTATTGTTTCAAAAGCATCAAGGATTTGAGGCCCAAATGGGTGGCAAATTAGTTGAAGGCCCAACAACATCAATCAGAATATGTCTGATTGCGAAACGTCGTCGTAAGGAAGGGACTCGTTCGTCTTCTAGTTATAGGGTTCTATGAGGGGACATGACTCAACTTCACTGTAACAAAGAATAGCTAATAGTGGTGAAAATGGAGAATCAGGAGCCCGAAATCGAGAAATTGCCCCAAGATGAGGTTCCTGATCAAGAACCAGAGCAGAAGAAGCTCAAGATTTCCACCTCTGGCGAGGAAACAGATTTGCCGGCTGCTGCAGCTTGCGGCGGAAGTGGCGGAGCTGAGCGTAGACCTCCGAAATACAGGCGCCGGAAAGTCGCAATCGTGTTTGCGTTTTGCGGGGTAGGGTATCAAGGAATGCAGAAGAATCCCGGCGCGAAAACCATTGAAGGAGAGCTCGAAGAGGCGCTGTTCCACGCCGGCGCTGTACCAGAGGCCGATCGGAACAAACCAAGACAATACGAATGGGCACGATCCGCTCGCACCGATAAGGGCGTGAGTGCGGTGGGACAGGTGGTTTCTGGTCGCTTCTACGTCGATCCGCCTGGATTTGTGGAGCGTCTCAACACGAATCTCCCTGATCAGATTCGAGTGTTTGGGTACAAGCGTGTGGCGCCGTCGTTTAGCTCCAAGAAATTCTGCGATCGGAGGAGGTATGTGTATCTAATCCCTGTTTTTGCTCTTGATCCATGCTCACATAGCGAAGCTGAGATGGCTAGATCAGATTCAGGGTACGAATATGTGAAATGTGTAGAGTGTTGTGAGAAAGGCTATAAGATTCCACTTGGTGTGATGGGGAAAGACACTAGTGATGATACAAAATCATTGGAGCTTCAGTCTGAGATTGCGTCGAGCAACTGTGATGCAGTAAAGTGTGAAACTTTGAGCTCTAATGTACCTAACGGAGAAGATATCCGAAACTCAAGATCGAATTTGGATTCTTCGAAAGAATCGGATACTTTGGCTAAGGGAAAGTCGAACGATGAGGAAGGAAAAGACATGGTTAAGACCGAGAGCAAGTTCTGCTATGGTGAGAAGGAGAAGGAGAGGTTTAACAGAATTCTAAGCTATTATGTTGGTTCGCATAACTTCCACAACTTCACCACAAGAACGAAAGCAGCAGACCCAGCTGCAAATCGCTACATTCTCTCCTTCAATGCAAACACAGTGATTAACCTCGACGGAAAGGAGTTTGTCAAGTGTGAAGTTGTTGGACAGAGCTTCATGCTTCATCAGATCCGGAAAATGATCGGACTTGCTGTTGCAGTCATGAGGAACTATGCACCTGAATCAGTGATCCAAGCCGCTTTCAAGAAGTAAGCTTTTTTTATTTATTTCCCGCTATATCCCTGAATATAGAATTGTTAAGAGGCAAGCTGATTTTGGAATTGGCAAACTCTTTACCAGGGATGTGAGAATAGTTGTACCGATGGCGCCAGAAGTTGGACTATACCTTGATGAATGCTTCTTCACGTCTTATAACAAAAGATTTAAAGGCAGTCACGAGGAGGTGTCAATGGAAGAATACATGGAAGTTGCTGAAGAATTCAAATGGAAGCATGTTTACTCTCATATTGGCTCAGCAGAAGAAAAAGATGGAATTGTGGCGATTTGGTTGCATTCATTGAACGAAAGAAACTATCCAGACCTACGTGTTGCTGAACACAAACCGGATGAAGTCATTGTCTATAAGAAGATTGGAGAAGCCTCTGAGGAAAAGATCCATGAGGAGAAAATTTCAGTGAAAGAGAAGACTAATGGCACTGCGGAACTATTTGTTGCTGATAAGGTAAATGATGAAACATCTGAAGAAAAGAGTATGGAAGAGAGTATTACAGTGGAAGAAAATGCAACTGGGTGAAGCTGCTTTTGCATACTGAGGATCACTGGATTCAGGTGGAAGCATCGAGCTTAAACCGCAGCGTTTATCTAATCTAAGAACAATATGCGGTATAAGAAATAAATAGTTTGGTTTTCTCCAACTTTCTCAAACTTTATATTTTCCAACTAATCAATTCAATTGATGGGGGTTTGAGGTCTTTTTTTCATAGTATCTCTCGACTTTACTTTTGCATTAATTCAAAGTATTTCTGTAACGAGAGACAAAAGGAGAAAAATAATAAAACAGAGCACAACTGAGTTTTACCAGTTTGGTAATGATCGGAGTGATCACTACCTACGTCTCGACTCTGTCATAGCCACAAGAATCGGATTACCAAAGCTAGACCAAAGAATAGCCGGGTTCGAGGATTAAACTTGTGTGCCACTTCTATAACTGAAACCACTTTTGTATATTTTTAGAAAAGTACATACATTTTCTAAAGCGTTCTCACATGAACATGACTCCTCGTTACTCAATCGAGGAGGATAATATTAGAGTATGACAATTACACGAAACACAAAAAAGCTGTTACCAAAATTGGATAAATCATCTCTTAAGCGCGTTGGGCAGTTGAAGACAGTAATGGAAAAAGCAGAGCACAAACTTCGACTATAAAACAGAGAGGCTCACAGAGATGAAGAATCACACTACAAAGAACATCAGAACAGAGACCAATAGCAGAAAGAGTATTCTTCATTCAGAAAATGGGGCTAGTCGTATTCAAATGGGGATACAACAAACTGACGCTGCTGCAGAACAGAGAGCAACGTGATACATGGCAAGTTTCAATTATTCAACCTCTTTTTTTAGGATTTAGTTATGTGCATCAATAAATCTATATATATGCATTGGTGAGTGTTTTGATATATGTTTTATGTTCCGAGTGATTAAAAAGGGAAATAGAACCGGCTGCTTGGGATGACGATAACCAGATATTGAGAGGTGTGCCTGAAGACAACTTTGGGACATGGTGTGGAATTTCGAAACGAGGCCGAGTTGCATTTGTTGTGAATTCATCTTGCAGTCTTAGCCCTTCCATGCATCGTCCTATTGATTTCTTGCGGGTTTGATATTATTATTATTATTTTTTGAAAAACTATTTGGATATGGATCACATTCTCACGGGGATTGATTTGATTACAGGGAGAGATGAGTCCAATGGAATTTGCAAGGGCTTGGTCTTCAGATAACGATCACCGTCTCGACAGGATAAGCAGTGGTCTGAACTGTTTCATGATTGTTGCAGATATAAATGCAAACTCAATGGTTTATGCCTCCAAAACATCTCCAAGGGTGTTAGAGGTTGCTTTTGGTGTCCATACCCTTGCTTCTGTCACCGGACTCGATTCCGATGGTGATTATTACCTGGTAATTTAACTTTGTACAACACTCTTGTAAAAGATCGTGTTGTTATGATAATCTTTTTAGAGAGAAATGTTTATGAAAAAGATTAAACACTCTTTCTGGTGGTACTTATGTAGGTGAAGCGTCAGAAAGAACTTTTCTCTGAGATGATTAGTAAATATAAGAAGAGAAAAGTTCCACCATTGAAGGATATGGCTGAGAATTTTATGTATAAAGGAGACAGAAGCGCGCCTCACAACTCATCTGTAAGAGAATTAAAACAATTTGGAGCCTACCCTCTTTTTTTTAATCCTGAGCAATACATATTAATATTCTTTATGTTTCTCTTTGTTTTCTTTCTTTTGTTGGATTTAGAATGAAACATTGAGTACAATAGCATTGGCCGTGAAACCCAACGAGGATGTGAACTTTTATCAGAGGTACTTGAAGAATGGCACATGGAAAGACCACAGCTTCACTTTCAAAATCACTGCCTAGTTACAAATCAACATCGTGCAGCATCCATCCATATCCGAATATCTTATAGTTAACTAAAATAATACTGTTGATGCTGTACTTAATTAAACCTTGTCGTCGATTCAGGGAAACCTATTTCCTTGGCCGCACTTTATCTACTCTAAGAACAATATTATATGCATGCTTAAAATAAATAAACAAATTATAGTTGTTGATGGATTTCCTATGGCGACTTCACTCTATATTTTCCATCTATTCAATTGAATTGATGGGATTAAAGTTATTTTTTCATAATTTCTCTTCTTAGTTTTACTTACGCCTTAATTCATGTATTTCCTGCCCTAAATTTAAATAATGAACAAGTTTAGTTCTCTGCACTAAAATTAAATAATGAACAAGTTTAAGTGTATTGAGAATATTAGCTACAACAAATGGTTAGATAAAAAAATTTTAACAACTACAAAAAAATGGTGTATAAGTGCACGAGTATACCAATTGTGCAGCTAAAGAAAATATACTAATGAATTGAAAAATTTAATCAGCTCTAAATTGGACTGAATATATTTCTGTCTTGTGTTTTGGTCAAAGGACTGAATTTCAAACCATAGCATACTATAAATGGATAAATAGAGATAAGAAACATTACAACACTAAATTAGCAACAAGAAAAGAAAAAAAGGATTTCAAATAATCGGAAGAGAGGAAAATTGGGACTGATGTAGAATCAAAGAAGCGATGGAGCTTAATCTAATCGAAAAATATTACAGAAATTAATAATCAAAGATAAGAGAGATAGAACGAAATGAGGGACAAACAAGAAGAACAAAAAAAAACAGAGTACTCCGGAGTTTTACGAGTTCGGTAATGATCGGAGTGATGCCTACTTGCGTCTCACCTAGCCGCCAGAATTGGATTGGCAAAGCTTAGACCAAAGAATCATCGGATTCGAGTAATAAACTTGTGTGCCACTAGAAACCACTTTTGTATATGTTTAGAATATTACAAATATTTCTAAAGTGTTTCCACATGCACATGACGCATCATTACTGAATCAAGGAGGGTACTCGTAAGAGTATGATAATGACACGAGAAACCAAAAGCTAGTCCAAAACTGGTAAAATCGTCTCTTAAGCGCGTGGGGTAGTTGGAGAAGCAAAGGGAAACAGAGCAGAAAATGCGACTATAAAACAGAGAGGCTCACAACTCCCAGAGAGATGAAGAATCACACTAAAAAAAGATCAGAACAGAGAATTAAACCATCTAAATACAAATATTCGTTCTTTCAGAAAATGGGGATTGTAGCATTCCAATGGGGAGACAAACAACTGACGCTGCTGCAGAACAGAGAGGATTGTGATTCATGGCAAGTTTTATTTATTCAACCTTTTAGGGTTTAATTATGTGTAGTATATGCATTGTTGGTTGATGAGTGTTTTGATTATGGTTTTTTTATATGCGAGTGATTAAAAGGAAAACAGAACCGGTGGCTTGGGACGAAGATAACAAGATATTGAGAGGTCTGCCTGAAAACAGCTTTGGGACGTGGTGTGGTGTTTCTAGACGAGGCCGAGTTGCATTTCTTGTGGATGCATTGCTCCATGACAATCTTAGCCCTTCCATGTTTCGTCCTGTTGATTTCTTGCGGGTTTGATTAATGTTCTTTCTTTCTTTCTTTTGTGTTTGTTTAAACTGTATTTGGATATGGATCTCCTCATGGGATTTGTTTGATTTGATTACAAGGGGGAAATGAGTCCAATGGACTTTGCAAAGGAATGGTCTGCAGATTCCAAATGTGCCTACATCATGAACAGGGGTCTGGCCTATCACATGATTGTGGCAGATGTGAATTCAAACTCAATGGTTTATATCTCCAAAACTTCTCCAGGCGACTCAATTGTCCGTACGGCAAAGGTTGATTTTGGTGTGCATTCCTTTTCTACTTCCGGACTCGATTCCCAATTTGACAAGGTAATATTTTCTTAACAATCTTGTTAACAAATCGATTTGGTAGGATTATTCATTTCACAGAGAAATATATATTCTACTATTGTTTAAAAAAATAATCAAACACTCTGTTTGGGTATTTATGCAGGATTTACACATGAAAACCGCTTTCTGTGAGATAATTGGTAATAAAAGAAACAAAGAAATGCCGCCGCTAAAGGAGATGGCTGAGAAGTTTGTATATGAACCAGTCGAAGCTGGCCAAACGAGCGCATCATCTTCTCTCGACTCTAACAAGAAAAAATCTGCTCTCCACATGTCTTTTGTAAGAGAATTAAAACAATACTGAAGCTACCCTTATTTAATGAGAAAAGGATATTGATAATTTCTTTATATTTTTGTTGGATTCAGCCGGACATAAAAGGGAAGCGCAGTGATGAAACAACGAGTACAACATCATTGGCCGTGAAACCCACCAAGGAAGTGAAACAAAAGGACTCTGAAACAATGAGTACAATAGCATTGGTCGTGAAACCGACCAAGCAGGTAAAGCTCTACGAGAGGTATTTGAAGAATGGCAAATGGAACGACCACGACTTCACGTTCAAGATCGCCCACTAGTTACATTCAACATTCCGCTAGCATCCATCCGAATATTATTATCTATATCCCTAATAAATAAGTAATCTTATCGGTGATGCTGTAATACATCTTATCAATCTTGTCGATTCAGGGAAACCTATTTCCTTGGTCGGTGATACAGTATATCCTAGTCGTCTAAGAACAATATGCTTAATATTAAAACCATATATTAAAATAAAGAAGTAGTTGCTTTTCTCAAACTTTCCTGTGTCGAGTCGACTTAAACCTTGTATGGACACAATAATGCGTCATTTTAATAACTTGTATGGATTAAAGATTGGTAGCAAGTAAAACTGAAAATCGGGAGTATTTAACTATTGATTTTCATGAACTCATCAAACACATTTCATATATTTTTCAATTTCATCCCTACAAATAACATGTTGATTTACAAGACTTATATGTGTTTTGCATATTTTAACCGATCAACATTCTCACAAGAATTTGGTCAAAATAAAAAAAGAGCATTATCACAAGAAGTTAAACCTCGCTAATTATGTTGTAACATTTGCTAATTTTACATATAACCAGACGGAAATTAGGCTCTAAACTTCGAAAGCTTAAAAAAAATGGTTATCAAGCGTTTGCAGAATATAATAATTCTAGAAATTAAGCTCTAGCTTGAAAATTAATAATAATAAATGGATCTAGACCTCGATTAAAAGTATCACTTAAAACTCGTAAGTGGGCACAGGAGGCGCATCAAAGCTCTCCAGAATCTGAGTCTTGCTCCCTGATTTATCCTCAGATTCCTTCTTCTTCCCATTACCAAATAAACCCCCAAACCAAGATCCCGAACCAGCCTCCGAAGTCTCCGGTACAACCTGACCAAAAACCTGACCCATGGGCACACCATACGGCGCCGAAGCTGAAGCAGCATCCTCCATGAAAAGCTGCTCTTTCTGCTGCTGCAAAGCACTAAATTTGTTAATCATGATCCCTGCTCCTTCTATGAGAGCCAAAAGAACGCCTCCGACTATAGCCGAGCGAGCCGTCGCGTTAATTCCTTGACGCATCGAGAGAAGGCCTCCAGTGGCGGCGCCAGATAAGATCGAGTTCCATGGATCTTCCTTCTGTCTTGCGTACACCAAAGCGCAATCGAATGTCGAGAATAGACCACCCCATACCGCGAAGCCTCCTCCGATTCTCGGCGCGTTCATTCGCACGGCCTGAGTGCCGCCGGAGAGATGAGCGCTGTTGGGAGAATTGTAGATTCCCTTTAGGAAGTGAAAGGCTGATCCTCCAACAGCACCCATGCCAAACGCACTTCCCACGTCATCGAGGATCCGATCCGGACATGGCTCTCTCGCACTTTCTGGAGTTCCCATCAATTTCACCTTTTTCGTCTCAGGAAGAAGAAGAAGAGGAAAAAATTAAAAGAGCCCTAAATCCTTAATGGAAATTATTTTTACTCACCTAACTTTTCGAGTTCTTCACGTTTTTTTTAAAATATTAAGGCCCAACTAGGCCCATTCGTAAATAAGCCCATCTTTTGGAGGGAAATAAAAAAAAACATTCCAAGTCGTGTACTCTAATAAGCTTATCTCATTTCTCCACCTCACAATGCCACGTCACGACAGACAAAATCTAAAATCAACCAATCACAACGCGTCTCTACAGATAAAACTTCATTTTAATGGAGTTTGCTTTCAGAGCCATCCATTGCTCTATCTCATTCTCTCTCTCTCTCTCACCACATAAAACGCATAAACCTCACAATATCTCAATCGACCAAAGATAGCAAAAAAAAAAAACCAAACTTTTTTGTTCCAATTCTAAAAGTTATCTTGATCATGGCTTCAGTAACCTCAGCCACCGTCGCAATCCCATCTTTCACCGGTCTCAAATCAACAATCTCCAAACCCTCCGCCGTCGTCAGAATCCCCACCGCGGCGGCAGCATCACCGAAGCTCACAGTGAAGTCATCTCTAAAAGACTTCGGAGTCGCGGCCGTAGCGGCTGCAGCTTCGATTGCTTTGGCCGGAAACGCCATGGCAATAGATATTCTCTTGGGATCAGGAGATGGGGCTTTAGCTTTTGTCCCCAACGATTTCAGTGTAGCGAAAGGAGAGAAGATTGTTTTCAAGAACAATGCTGGATTCCCACACAATGTTGTCTTCGATGAGGACGAGATCCCAAGTGGTGTTGACGCGAGCAAGATCTCCATGGACGAGCAAGATCTACTCAACGGTCCGGGAGAGACGTACGAGGTTGCTTTGACTGAGCCTGGCACCTACAGCTTCTACTGTGCGCCTCATCAGGGTGCTGGTATGGTCGGTAAAGTCACTGTTAACTAAGTAATAAATTGTGAGCGCAAGTGAGAGGCAGAGTCTCTTATTCAAGTAGAGGCTTTTCTTTCTGTGTCTTGCATAAGGTGTTTTGTATTTCTAAAGAGTGTTGAATCGAATGGACCGTGATTTGTTGTAATGTGACTGGTTCCATAAATTATTTTTCTTCGTTTATAATTATAATTATATAGTCATGTAGATATATGTCTCGCCTAAAGTTCTTTTAAGAATATGGTAATTTAACTAGGAACCAAATATGTTAGAATAAGCGTAGACAGATGACCAATCTATAATTAATCATTATGTCTCAAAGACTTAAACAAGATTTGAGTTCAGAACTTCAGATAGATAGTGTAGAAATCCATCTGTGCCCTGCATAAATCAGGAAAAAACAAATATGAAATCGTGAATATACTGTAGAAAGTTTACTGATATTCAGTGTATAAATTCAGTTATAAGTTTATAGCATGTAACATGTAAACCCATCTGCGACATGTATAAATCTAACAAAACATGTGTAAACTAAAACTAGCTACAATAAGTATAAATTCATCTACATTTATAGGTATAAATTCTTTTAGAACATTTTATAAACCAAATCACAATATTTACTATTTAGTATTTACAACTCCAATGACATATTACATAACATGTTATATAATGTAAAAATATCTTAAAATCCAGGATCTCAAGTCTCGTCTTTCGTTCGAATGTTTTTAGCTATTTGCATTTCAGCTCAGATAACTTCAAATTTCGGACTGCCCCAATTTAACCTGTTTGAGTGATTGGGCTGATAAGCCCATCACAACGTGCAAGAAGACATATCAATCCAGAATCGTATTCGGTAAACGTTATTCGATCCATAAAATGTAAACTTTATTAATCGGGCTTATCATTTCTTTTGATCGAAAGATACAAACGATTAACCTAAAGCACAATGATAATATAAACAGACTGATTACTATCCTTTCCACTTTTAGAAGCTCAAAATTAGCAACGCTGCTTTAAAAAAACACTCTTCAGTTTTTCTTTTGGATTTCCAGCTCTTGAGCCAATCCCACTAATACTTTCTACTGATATGAGAGTCATAGTGTTCGGAATAACAAAACATCAGGGTTCCAAAATTTTGTTGATTGTTTGTTCGTCTTGTGCAGGCTATTACTTCCCATTGGTCAGATTGGCTCGTAACAGGTTTATTTCTCGTAACTTTAGATACTGTATATCAGAACTTTCTATTTAAGTGAAAGAAAGAAAATTATTTGAGTGGGAAAATACAAAAAAGGAGACAGTGCAGACTTGAGAGAGATCCAAAGGTTATAGAAAGGGAAAAAGAGCATCTTTGAGGTAATGTGGTCTGATAAGAAGCCAAACAAGAAAGCGACAATAGAAAATAAGGCAGATCAATGAGTCGACTTTTGTAAACAACTCGAAAAAAGCCTCTTTATAAGATAAAAAAAGAAGCTTCCACGTGATTTCTCCTTCTCTGGTCGGTACTCCTCTCCCATGTCCATGTCCATCCATCACTTGTTCCCTTTTCTTTTTGTCAAAAGAAATAGATCTTAGATCGGCTTTACTTTTTTTTTTTTTTCAAAAATGTACTTCAATATTAATTTCCGAAAACTCATGATTTAGTTGGTTGAGCAGGTTTTTCAGAGTTTAGAATTCGAGTGTATTAGGAACCACCTTAAAAATACTACCGATCAAAGCCAAAAACTTCAACACAGCCATTGGATATATTTCCAAAACAAATAAACTATATCAACAAAATTTGATTTATTCAGCTGCATAATCCTTATTATTTGTAATTCTGGAGAAAGGCTACCACACGTGAATCCCTCAAAGACGGCCATTGTTCAAATTTGGCGTTACGCACCTCACGCTGGGGACCTTTCTTTTATTTTGATTATTATTTAATGAATGAAAGATGTATTTCACGGAATAATGTTTTTATTTACTTCGTAGATAAACATAGAAAATATTGCTCGGAGACTTTTCAATAAATTTCTTTTAATGAAATATCATAGTAAAGCGTTTTTTTTTTTCGTGATGTTGCTTGACACAAGAACGTGGATATACTTGTTCACAAGTCACAACACTAGGGAAAATAAAATATCTTAGATTTTTCAAGTCAAAGACCAAATCAGGTCTCTGGTCATTAATTATTTTGAATGTAAAATAAATAGAGACCATAAACTCATGCGCAGAAGAATATATTTTCTTACTGTATTTACTACTCCACCTTTTGGCTCATTACTAAACCAATAATGAAAAACGTAGTTTAGTTCAAAAATTTACATGGAATTTTAAACAAACACCAGCCAAAATTACCATTAGGAGTATATATTTTGTTGTTCCAGTTATCTCAATCGTCAAAACTATCAACGGAAGAAACAAGAACCAAAAAAATTTGGCAGACCCATCGCATTCTCTTTTTCTAATTTAGATTTTAATTAAATTTGTAGTAGTATTAGTTGTATATAATAAGATGATATCAATCTGGACATTTTTTTCCATATTTGTTTTGGCAAACACAGTTTAGATTTATTTTTGAAGACTCTAATATAGATATCAGTATATTTACAGATTAAATACTCTATTTTTAGTCATAAATCAGAGGCAACAAGTAAAACTCAACGCGTCTCTCTCTCTCTCTCCATCTCCTCTCTCTCTCAACCAAATGGACACTGTAGCACTCTTCTTCACCGGCGCTCTCGTCGCCGGCGGTATCTACTGGTTCCTCTGCGTCCTCGGTCCAGCGGAGCGAAAGGGAAAACGAGCCGTGGATCTATCCGGCGGCTCAATCTCCGCCGAGAAAGTCCAGGACAACTACAAACAGTACTGGTCTTTCTTCCGCCGTCCCAAAGAGATCGAAACCGCCGAGAAAGTCCCCGATTTCGTCGACACGTTCTACAACCTCGTCACCGACATCTACGAGTGGGGATGGGGACAATCCTTCCACTTCTCTCCATCGGTCCGAGGCAAATCACACCGCGACGCCACGCGCCTCCACGAGGAGTTAGCCGTAGATCTGATCCAAGTCAAACCGGGTCAAAAGATCCTGGACGTCGGATGCGGCGTGGGCGGTCCGATGCGCGCGATTGCATCTCACTCGCGAGCAAACGTGGTTGGGATCACGATCAACGAGTATCAGGTGAAGAGAGCGCGTGACCACAACAGAAAAGCCGGTCTCGACGCGCTTTGCGAGGTCGTGTGCGGCAACTTCCTCGAGATGCCGTTCGATGATAACAGCTTCGACGGCGCGTACGCGATCGAAGCGACGTGCCACGCGCCGAAGCTCGGAGAAGTGTACGCGGAGATCTACAGGGTGTTGAAACCAGGAGCCTTGTTCGTATCGTACGAGTGGGTCACGACGGATAAATTTAAGCCGGAGGATGATGAACACGTGGCGGTGATCCAAGGGATCGAGAGAGGAAACGCGCTTCCTGGGCTTAGGGCTTACTCGGACATAGCCGTGACGGCGAAGAAAACCGGGTTTGAGGTTGTGAAGGAGAAGGATCTGGCGGCTCCACCGGCTGAGCCGTGGTGGACCCGGCTTAAGATGGGTCGGATCGCGTATTGGAGGAACCACATTGTGGTTCAGATTTTGTCTGCGGTTGGAGTTGCGCCTAAAGGAACCGTTGATGTTCACGAGATGTTGTTTAAAACCGCTGATTTCTTGTCCAGAGGAGGCGAAACCGAGATTTTCTCTCCGATGCATATGATTCTCTGCCGGAAACCGGTTTCTTGAAAAAGAAGACGTAAAGGTCCGTTTGGATAGAATCGTCTTCTTCTGATCTCAATTTGTTTTTTTTTTTTTTTTGGATTTTTCATTCTGAGTTAATCAGCAGCGTGTACTCTTTTGGATTTTAAAACCATGTTTTAATTTTAATTTGGTTATCTGGTTTTAAGGATTTTACTGTTTGCCTAAATAAGAATCTTGGTCTCGAATTATCCGCCGGAAGCGTAGCGCCGACGAGTCACCGGGGGTTATTATCATATCACAATTTTAAGTGTTTTTAGTAAACTAATGTACTTAGGTGTCGACAGCCTGTGAGAGTAGTTGACTAGTGTGTGAGTGTCTGAAATTTGTTTGTGTAAATTCTCAAGTAATTTTGAGTTGATTATAATAAATTAAAGAAAAGCAGTGTGTGAGTGTGGCGACAAGAAATCAAAATGAGCTTTTTAGGTTTTACAGTTTGTCGCAAGGCGTTAGTGGTGGGAACTTGAGACGCGCGTGGTGGTCTCGCACGCTATGATATGTTGAATTATTGGTACGTACTAGAGTTGAAAGTTTATGTTTTATTATATGTTATTTTTTTTAAAATAATTCGTTGATAATTTTTTCTTTATTTTAATAATTTTATTTTTAAGTTTGCATTGTGTTAATAATACTTGTGTTCTATTAGTTATCCTTACGGGTGTGTCTATATAACAATTTATTTTTCTTAATTATGTTATTAACTTCGATAAATTTTATTTCATGTATTTTTAAATTTTATCTGTTACTATTGTGTGATTATAATTATTTAAATTATTTTTATTTTTTTTAATTTATACTCTCTGCAACTCTTTTATTTTTAATTAGTTATTATTATAAATTATTAAACAACTAATTCATCATATTTGTTTTTTCCTTTTTTTTTTCAATTTTTACTCTTTTTTCATCTTCATATTCTCATAATTTTTTAGTTTTATATTTTTTTTCTTTCCTTATCTTTAACATCTTTGTTTTCGTATTTTTTTTCATTAGCTTCGTGATCTTCAATTTTTTTTTTTATTTTTCTCAGATTTTTGACTTTTATTTTCTTTTCTTCTTTTATTTTCAGTTTTTCTTCATTTTCTTATTCTGATATTGTTCATCTGCATCTTTTTATATATTTTGATATTTCTTCTTCCTCCTATTTTTTTCATCATTTTTTTTTAATTATTGTCATTTTTTCTAACTTTTTCAGTTTAAATAATATATTATTTTTAATCTAGTTAGTATTATATTTTTTTCTTAAGTATTAATATCTAACTACCACTTATCTTTTTATTTACACTAAAATTTGTTTTAGTTTTTTTAATGTGTACCAAATATACTAATAATAAATAGAAATATATATGTATTAAATATTTAATTTAAATATGCTTTAATGTTAAAATTTGAGAGTTTGGTGATATGGATAACCTAGATGAAGAGAAAACTCTACTATTATATAATAGATTATATGAATTATCGATATATTATAAAATGTTAGACGTTTTGTTTTTTTTTTTTTTGGTCGAAGGTAGACGTTTTGTTTATTCCTAAAGATTCACGTGATTCTTTCTGAGTTCCGGTTAGATCTATGAAAACATAACAAGACATTACCCTTTTTGTTTTTGCCGAATTTTGGCCAACTCACTGCACTGATCTCGTGTGTCTGACTAAAATTTATACATATAAATATATAAACAGCTTTGTCACGATCGTATTCCAGATCGTGATGATTCACGTTGAAAATGACAGGAAGGATAATATACCATCCTGATATCACTGTCTTATCTACCGGGTCTTTGTGGCAATATGATTTTTTCTAAACAAATTATAAGTCCATAAATTTTTTGATGGAGAAAATAAATAAAAATTAAAAAGGAACAAATATGTCTTCCAAATTCCCAACTAAATACAAATATTTGAGTACCACATGTATAAGGCCGTAAAAAATAAATAAACATGTTATATTTTCTTACCTAGTTCTTTGGTTTTAAGTTTTAACTTAACTTCACCACTTGATTATTGTAACTGCCATTAAATTTGAGCCCATGTTTGGGTGACATTACCTTAATTATCCTTGTACATCTAGTAATATTGCAAGATTTTCTGGGTTAACTTTTTGTAAAATTTCATGGACTTTTTGTTAAAGAGAACGATCTCCCCCCTTAGCTTAACTTGAGGACCCACAGAATCAATTCAGGTCACTTCTCTGCTGTTGCAGATTGATTCCAAATCCAGATTAATAATCTGGTCAAGCTGTTTTCCATAGGTTATTTATGTTGGTGTAGGTACTGGGAACAAACATTCGTGTATTGGGCTAATGGGCCACTTGTAACTTTTTGGTTTTCTTTTTGCTTAGTTTTGTGTTGGAATTTAATACAAAGTCTAAGCCTTTAACAACCAAAATATAATCTTCATTATTACTAATGTAACATACGAAACCAATGATCTGATTATGACCTTGAAGCATAAAACCAAATCGATTGCTAAATTCATTTCTAAAGTCCGATTCAAACCTTAATTTTCACACTTTTCTATAATTTCAATATTTAGACACTATTCTATTATTTCAGTATTTTGACACTATAAGTTGGAAGGTTGATTACCTGTGGGATTGGATAGGCCCTAAGAATGAAAGAGGGACGTTAAAAGGTTTAGGACAAAAACCTACCCAATGTTACAATCTATAGTAGAGACGGAAGTAATATCCCTACTTTGGGCTCTGACTTTCTTAGCTTTGAAGATGTAATGTTTGTTAGTGATTCACATATTTATTGTCAAGGCAGTAATCAAACCGTTTGAGTGTGCAAGGCTTCAAGTGTATACGGCAGAAGTCAGCTAACTTGTTGGTAAACCTGATATCATACAATACTTCTGGATTTCAAATCCGACAAAAACTGCAATTTATCATTTTTCTATAGTCCAGACCGAAAATAAGAAAAACGTTTCGATCCATTCACAAGTCAATTTTTTTGTTGTCTTTTGGTGTATTCACAAAATTCAGACATAGTACGTAGAAACGAAATTCCGATATAAAAAACAAATATACATAGAAATAATTACGGAGAAAATTTCAATAAGTAGTTTTAACTTTAAGTGGTTTTGGTCGATCCATGGTTCTTCTCTTCCACAAATTAACTTCACTCTTCGGTTTAGGACTCAGACGCAGACCCTCTTGGTGAGTCAGAGGAATGCTTACAGAGCTTGGAATCATTATATTCTCTTCTTCTTCATCGGAGAAGTAACCTCGGCGATGATCCGACTGCGATTCGTCACGTTTCATCTCGACCGTCCAATCGAATCCACCAAGAGATTCTCTGCTTGTCGCGAATTTCTTCATTTTACCCAACGAGGGCGCCGCAACCGCTTCCACCGCCGCGACCGGATGTTCGCTCTCGACGGCGAAGTCGATGGAGTTGGATTTTCTCGACGGATTCCTTCCCGTTGAGAAGAAACGCTTTAGTTTCGAAAAGCTTCCTTTGCCTTCTTCTTTAATAAGAGAAGACGACGCCGTTTCGAGATTCTTGAGTGCTGCTCTGTTTTTCTTGTCCGGACATTTGGGCTTTGAGAGTTTGATCTGACCGATGCAAGAGACTTTAGGCGAAGTGGGTTCGGCGTAAACGACCTCGTTTTTGATTCTCCTCTTAACTCTAGCCGCCGTTGGAAGTAACGGTCTTATCGGACTGGAGAAGAATAATCCTCTGTTCGCCGTCGAAGTCGTACGGTAGTGACGGAGATCTCTTGACGGACTAAACGGCGCCGCACTGTGACCAATTGATAACGCTTTTTGAAGCATATTCGAGAGTTTCGTAGAGTTGTTTTTGGAAGCTTTTTCCATTTCGAAAGTATACAAATGCGAAAGATAGATTCTTGGTTTTATATGTTCTGTTGTGTCTGAAATTTCTCAGAAAGGGAGAATCAGAGGATACTAAGAGGACCACAATTGAAATTGTCAACGGTGATGATGTCACGGAGGGGTTTTGCCGCTTTGGTCAAAGCTGAGCTTAACCGGGGAAGACCTTCATGTAAGACAGACATTTATGGCCTAATAGACTTATACGGCCGACTTTGTTCCGGTTTAGAAAAATTAAATGCCCAAGACTATGTTTGGTTTACAGTTTTCCTTGTTGTTTAGGTTGTCTTTTTCTTTCTTCGCGGACTAGTTTAATGGGTTATTTGACTTTTATGGGGTTAATCCCACATGTGTCATTATATTTAGAGGATAACAAGCCACATGATTAATATGCTTGATAGTTAATATGAGTAGTTAATTGTTTGGGATTATTTAAAGCAAGTAATTAGGACACGAACAGCATGTTAACCGATAATTTAATAGATTGAAAGCGACGTACAAAGTGAACACTTGTCCTTTTGGCTTTTGGTCAATAAACGACTGGCAAATGATGTCAATACAATTCTATCTACCAATTTATTACATTTTGTAATTGAACGATGAGAACTACTTCCTAGAACTACTTCCTAGGACTACTTCCTCTCTTTAGTCTTCTCTTGTTAAATGCTGTTTTGCAAAAATTTCCATGAAAGTACTCCCTCTCGAGACTTCTCTTGTTATATGTTTACAATTGAATTAAATGCTGTTCTACATTTTTTTTTCTTATTTTATGAAAAAACTTCACGCATTAAAGCGAAGTATCCAAAATCCTTTTTGTCCTATATTCAAACTAACTTTTGCTGGCATAGCTTTTTATAAATCTAATTGATTTTTAGGGTTGGTGTTTTTTTGGCACGGAAAATAGTATGGGGGTTAAAAACGTTACTCAGGGGAATAGAATATGAAGCACATGAGAAAGTGAGAAAGGCAGAGGCAAATGCAGAGGAATATGATGAAAGGAAAGAGGTTACGAATCAAAAGATTAAAACAGCACCTGCAGGTCGTGACTAAAATGTAATGTTGATGGAGATTGGCCTAAAGAAATGATCCAATGTGGAAACTAATGTTATATCTCTTCTTTGTCCAGAACTGATTTTTAGGTTTGGAGTTGCTCGATTACCTTTCGTCCCTTAGAGCTTAATTTCCTTGGATTGAGTGTCAGTCAAAACTATAAACATAGGCAAATGATTTGGGATTTTATTATCATTGGTGCAAGAAAAAGTTGCATTTCAAGAGAAAACGAAGAGTACATGACTACATGGTACATTAATTATTCTTGATGCAAGTTAAACCAGTGTTGTGCCCAAAACGAAGTTACAAAATCTGATTAGCAATAAAACTGCTTTTAAAATATTCTTATAGTTTCTCGACAAAAAGAAAAAGAAAAAAAGAGTTCTCATTTAATGCTTAGGAAGGTTCCTACAATGGCCGAGCAACGAGTCCCTTGTGAATCATCTTCTCCACCAACTCTTCATGCTTCTTCAATTGCCCAGCTTTTCTCAACTGAGCAAGAACCATCTCATATAAAGACAAGCTCGGTATCAAACACTTCTCTTCAACCATCTCTCTAAAGAACTTATAAGCATTACTCCAATGCCCCATCCCACAATACATCGTAACCAAAAGCCTATAAGTATTCACATTCGGCTCAACTTCTTTCTCATCCATCTCTTTCTTCATCTTCAAAACCATATCAGTAGATTTCGACTCCACAAACATCCTCATCAGTATATTATAAGTCACAGTGTTAGCCTCACACTTTGCTTCCATCATCTTCGAATACATCCTATGCGCGCCATTCACGTCTCTCTTCTTCTCGATGTACCTAAATATCGTGTTGAAAGTCGAAGCATTCACCTCGCATCTCTTCTTGATCATCGAGTTCAAGACCTTAACGGCATTCTCCAAGTTCCCGTCTCTGCAATGAGTCTCAATCAGGAAGTTATAAGTTATCGTGTCGGCTTCGCATCCTAGCTTCTTCATCTGATTATAAACCTGCAAAACCTTCTCTGTTCTTCCTGCTTTCACATGAGCTCTCATCAGGTTATTGAAAGTAATGGCGTTTGGAGCACAACCACAATCTATCATATCCGCAAACACATCGTGCGCGCGGCTGATTTGCCCGCATCTACACAACGCATCGATCACAATGCTGTAAGTATACACGTTTGGTTCAATCCCAGCCACTTTCATCTCCTTGAACACTCTCTCTGCCTCGGAGATTTCACCAGCTCGGCACCAACCACGAACCAAGTTAGTGTAAACTATAACATCCGGTTCGAATTTATCCTTCAAGCTATCGAAAAAAGACTGAGCTTCGCTGGCTCTTCTCTTCCTAGAGAGGATGCTAATGACTATCGAAAACGCGATTTTGTCAGGAACGCATCCGTAATCTTCCATTCGATTAAAGCAATGTACAGCCTCTGAAGCTAACCCAGCTCTAACGTAACGCCTAATCAGAATCGTGAAGGTCTCGATCGAAATCTCTACGTTTCTCGATTTCATTAGGTCAATCAAGTGCCAAGCTAGGTCGAAATGTCTTACCTTTCCGGCGAGATCGATCATTTCGTTGTAAGGGTGAGGCGATTTCTGGTCGTACTCGTCTCGTGAGGTGGCCCAGTTGAAGAAAGCTAGAGACTGTAGGAGAGGGATTCCATGGCGGACGCCGCCGCACTTCTCTATCACGCATCGCACGACGGAGGGGGAGATTCGAGAGGCGTCGATTTGGGAGAAATCGAGGGAGAGAGAAGGGAGGGTGAAGCTAGGGTTTAAGACGGCGTCGTTGGGGTTAGTAGGGTTTTTGCGGTAGTGATCTTTGATGATGGAATGGAACTTTTCTATGGTCTGTGTATCTTCAGGAGTTAACACAGGTGAGACAGAGACGACGGCGGTGGCGGCGGCGGATTCGTCGTTTTCATGGTCATGGTCTAGAGAAGTTGCGGAGGTGGTGAAGGGTTTTGGTAAAAGGGGAGAGATGATGGAAATGGATGGAGAAAGACGGAGTTTTGATCGCATTAACGCCATTAACCGGGAGATTTGGCGACTCTCTATCTATTCTGGTCAGGCAGGACGCAGAGTGGAAATGATGAAGGAGGAAGTTCACTTGTGTAAACGAGTTATTCATAAGGTCAAATTTGCTTTGGGGTTTGCTAAAAAGTCAAAACGCTGATTACCGCGGCGTTTTAGTACAACCCTCTATTGTATATGTAACCTATGGTATATATACCTTACTTGTTAAATATAGCAAATCATAGGAGCCAAACAAAAATTCTTCAATACCATGAAATTTTAACTTTTTCATAAAGACCCTTGTTTTACTAATGTCATCATCGTCTCACTACTCGGATATAATCTATGATTTAAATCATATTTTCTCGAATGATATTCAACTGATTATGTAACCTATTGCCTGCAAACTATAAATATTCAAAGGATCTTAACATATATTCAACGACAAAATCTACTAATTTATTTGCATATAACGGAATCCGACTAATGGTTTGGATATACTCAAACATTAGAACTCATAGTTGTTACACACGTTATATGATGTCTGGCCAATTTTTGGAGTTAAGATCACAAGTGACTCATTTGGATGATGCTAGTTCTTAGCGTTTAGTCATCTGAGGTATGTAATATGCAGCTTGACCATGCCAAGTTTCTGACTCGCGCGCATTGTAAGGAGAGAAAAATATTCTCTTATTATAAAAAAATACGCATAAGAGAATTTCAATCCTAGCTTATTGGATATGACCTAGTATAAATCCTAGTGACATATGGTTTAGATTTTTAATTAGTACTAATTAAATATATAAGAACGACTCTTTCTAAAGCTGTAACTCGTCTCTAATCTCCAGTTCTAATCCGATCTAGCGAAAAATCCTAACAAGACACGCTTATGTTGTCTTCTCCATCTAATTCCTACTCGGACTAGAATTTAAGTCCTAATCCGACCTAGATTCTATATTTTGTCTGATTATAACGACATAACCTTTTTTTTTGTTTATCCTTCCCTAATTATTACTCCAAAACCTCAGAAAAAAGCAGAAAACAATCACTGGGTTCTTATCAAATATTACCATCGGCGCCGGTGCCGGAGAATGAGAGGAAAACGGAGGAGCTCGTGTCGTTAAAGAATCTGATTCCGTTTTATTGTCCAGCTCGGACACAGACGCCTCCGTTCGAGCATATGCCTAAGTCGTTACAACAGCGTTACATCAAGGTTAAAGAGCCTCTCTTTGATCCAGAGACTTCCAAACGTATTTATTGGCGGGAAGTGCCCATTAATGACGACGACGAAGAGCACGATCATGGCTGTTTATTCTTTTTGAAGAGAATCATTCAAAGAACGATCGATAAGTGGTTTGGTCCTCTTTTTGGATTACCCAAGTTTGACGAGTTTCATTATTGAAGTAATTTATAGACTGAAACACAAATGTGAGTTTCTTGTTTGGGATGAAATCGAATTGCGTGAGTACTATCCAATGTTTTTTTTCCTTATAAGAGTCTTTTGATTTTCTTATTTTAAGAGTCATGTATCTGTTACTTCGAAGCACGCACGTCTAATTGTCTAAAGATGATCTAGTGTTCTTGAATCTTGATGATCAACGTTTATCAGGTTTGTGATTCTGGCTTAGATAGGCCCATATATCAATACAAGTAAGCCCATATAATTAGGCTCAGTATGCCTAACCTGTGTTCAGCATTGATGAAAGTTTCCTTTTTGTTGACAAGATTGTGAAACTTAAAATAGTTTTGCTAAAACGCAGTAATGACGTTACATGCAAACGTTGCGTAGACGTATTACGTTTCACGTTCTGTAATCCGCAAAAAGATTTTGGATTAAGCACATTTTTACCATTTTTAAAAGTAAAATTACGAGGTATATTCTTGTTACATTAACATTACATAAGTTTAGTTGAACATTTATCAAACACGTATAATGTACGTTGATGATATTTGAAAAAACCTTGATGATATTTGATCCATCAAATTTTGTAATTAAAAAATATTCTATAATTTTCGAGAATTAAGTTTACAAATTATAGCTAAAATTTTAGAACATTAAGCTACAAATGGAACATATTTTATATTTTTTTTTGAAAATTAACAATTTTGTAAGGAAAATTTTATTTTGATTTATTTTTTTAAAACGAGGATTCCTCGTCGAGAAATGTCTTATGTTAGTCAAAGATGATACTTTATTTTGTAAGGAAATCTATCAATCAACAATAGCCCATTGGTTGATTTGAGGTGTAATAATAATCAGTAAAACATTGTGCTGCAAAACAAAACCAATTTCCCGATGAAATGACAACATCATCCATAATTATCAGCTATCAAAGAATGCGTTACGAAGGGTACAAATGTCATTTACGAAATTTGTAAACAGGTGTTAGAACAGAGAATAGAGAATTGAAGAAAGAGAGAGAAATCCTCCTCACAAAGGAAGAAAATTTATAAGTAGAAAACAAAATTTGATCTCTTTTCTTCTGCAGGGTTTTTGTGATTATCTTATTCGATCGATTTCTACCTCTCTCTTCGTTTACAAATCCTTTTTGTGTTATTATTTGTCGGTCTGGATCTTCTTCGATGGCGAAACTGAGACACTCGCGATTTCAAGGGAGGAAATGGTCGACATTGATGCTGGTTCTGTTCATGCTTTTCATGTTAACGGTGGTTCTCTTGATGCTTTTGGCATTTGGGGTTTTCTCTCTTCCAATTAATAACTACGATGAATCTTCTCCAGTAGATCTCTCTTATTTCAGACGAGCTGCAACTGAGAGGTGCATGAATTGTGTCGTAATTCTTGATCTGGCTGATTTTCTTGATCTGGATTTTTTTTTTTTTGATTCAAGCTTTTTCGTTTTTAAATCTCGAATTCAGAAGTGAGGGACTTGGGAAGAGAGGAGATCAGTGGACTGAAGTGCTTTCTTGGGAACCCAGGGCTTTCGTCTACCACAATTTCTTGGTTAGTGTTCTCATTCCAAAGATTTTATTTCTTTTGATTGATACTTCTTGCAGTGATTTTGTTTGCGGTTCTATTGGGTTCAAAGCTTTACTGTCTGTCAATTAGAAACTGATGCATGTTTGAACCAAAAAAAAATCGAATCTTGAATATTAGTTTATTGTTCATTTGACCAGTCGAAGGAAGAATGTGAATATTTAATCAGTCTTGCCAAACCACATATGGTGAAGTCAACTGTTGTAGATAGCCAAACCGGGAAAAGCAAAGATAGCAGGTTCGGTTTCCTTTCTCCATTGATGATGAGGCTTCATGTCTGTGAATATCATCTTTATTTTGAAAAGAGCTTTTTATTCGGCAAGCATTGTGTACTGTCTTGTTGATTTGTGAAATTACTCACATTCAGGGTGCGAACTAGCTCAGGAACTTTCCTTAGGAGAGGAAGGGACAAAATCATTAAGGCCATTGAGAAAAGAATTGCAGACTACACCTTTATCCCAGCAGGTATGAGAGACTTTAAAAATGATCAATAAGAGTCTGGACTTTTGTTTCTTAACATTTTGAGTCATCTGTAGATGAGAATAAGATAATCAGCTTTTCTTCTGCATGATGAATGATGTCACTTTTCGCCTTATTTCATTTAGTATTGTGCCTAAGATGATTCTTGAATGTGCAGATCATGGTGAAGGACTCCAAGTTCTTCACTACGAAGAAGGGCAAAAGTATGAACCACACTATGATTACTTTGTCGACGAGTTCAACACTAAGAATGGAGGTCAACGGATGGCGACAATGCTTATGTATCTGTAAGATTTTATAACTCTTTTAATCTAAAAGGTTGCAATGTTCTAGTATTTACCTTTGTTCTATACAGGTCGGATGTCGAAGAAGGCGGTGAAACTGTGTTTCCTGCTGCCAATATGAATTTTAGCTCTGTACCATGGTTTAATGAACTCTCCGAGTGTGCGAAGAAGGGACTTTCTGTAAAGCCGAGAATGGGCGATGCATTGCTCTTCTGGAGCATGAGACCCGATGCTACACTAGATCCTTCAAGCTTGCATGGTAAACTATACCGTCTGTTTTCAATAAGCATATAGAACAAACACTTTCGTGATTTTGTGTTTTTTTTTGGATACCATTGAGTGTGTAGTTGATGATATATGTCTGGTTGATTCTAGGTGGATGTCCTGTGATTAGAGGGAACAAGTGGTCATCTACCAAATGGATGCATGTTGGCGAGTACAAAATCTAACGTGTTTGATTGCTGGTAAACAAGAAAATTTATCCATTATGTTAATGTGTTATCTTTGCAATAGAGTGGCTAAGGGATTTGATGAATTACTTAAATCAGCACTGATAGAAATGTTCTCAACATTATCTAATCTCTCTAATTCAACACGTTTTCGTCTCTAGAGCACATGCATTAGCCACACACACACACACACACACACACACACACACAGATAAACACAAACTGTGGGTTGAATATACTTGTTATCGATGTCTACATAAAGTATGGCGTGTTTGTTCTTGGTTCTTACATTATCCGTTTTTATTGGGCAGGACAGTATACTGTTTCCTTGATGATGGATGAGTTGCAATGTCGTAACCAAAAATTGCAGAGAGAGTTGAAGATGTTTGTTCGTTTAACTGCGGCTCAGGGTATTGTTCAGAACCATTCTTTGTTTTGATGGGATTCAGAGGTTTATATATCATTAGAGAATACCAAAAGATAGAATCGTTAGACTGAATTAGGATGGCTTAGAGAGACCATTGGTATACGAGCCATAAAGTTTGTCATTGAACAGAAGAAGATGTGAATTACTTAATTTTGAATTTTGTCGTGTCCTCTATTTTGTGTGTGATTACTGATTAGAACATTATAGTCAAATAAGAAAACTGCCATCTTAATATGAAAGCTGAATTCTTCTGTTCGTATACCTAAATTATCAAAATTGACCGGACCATCGTGTAAGTTACTCATTTTTTTGTTTGTTTGTGATTTTCATCAGCAGATAGCAATATTATTATGGCCATTGTTGAAATTCTCTACTGTATACAACCAGGAAATCTAATTTATCTTATTTTATTATATCCAAAGAACTGTTATACCAAATATAAGAAATATTTAACAGATTGCTCAGACAATGGATCAAATATATCGAAATGTGATGGAAGAGATTATTACAACAACAAAAAGATATAATTCACCAGTTTGGAAGACAGAAACACAAGCTCATAAATAGCGTTTCTCTACACAAACCTTTATTATACAAAGGAAATAAATAAAATAAAAATCCCAAATTCACAAATCTCTGAGTTTTTTTTAAAGCAATCCTGTTTTTTCTTCTCTCGATACGATTCAACTTCCACATAAAATGAGAATGGAGCAATTTAGAGGTTGCTTTACAGGCTTAGCTTGTGGCGTCGCGACTGTAGAATTGATCAAGTGTTTTGGCGGGAATACGGTGAAGAAGCTCACGCGGGAAGATACGGAGCAGTGTCCATGCCAAGTCAAGAGACTGGAAGATGTTTCTTGTATCGTATGCGCCTTGCATCACAAACTTCCTCTCAAATTTATCCAGAAACTCTAGATACAGCTGCAAAACCACAACACATGAAGATATTGTTGTGAGTAATTGTTGTTGTGCGTATTGATATATAAACTTGAACATGATTGAGTAGAGAGAAAGGTACCAGATCCTCAGAAGAAAGAGCTTCTTCTCCAACTACAGCTTTCATGGCTTGAACATCCTTCCCAATTGCATAGTTTGCGTAAAGCTGAAAGTCTCAAGAGAAAATTTTTCAATTGGGTTTGATTATACTAAATGAACATGTGAGATACTTAAGTACAGTAAGATCGTATAAGTAGGGAACCTGGTTGGACACATCAGAATGGTCACGGCGAGTCATTCCCTCACCAATAGCACTCTGCAGAATTGAAGGATGGTCAAGTCAATAAGTCATTGTATGTTTCAATCCATGTGAATCTAAAAGGGAATATAATCGAATGTATTGGCTACCTTCATTAATCGAGAAAGTGATGGAAGCACATTTATGGGTGGATATATCTGTTTTAGAGAAGAATCAAGAAAAACCAGAGATTATTGTAGGTGAGAAACCTTCTCTATTTTATATTTTAGAGACAAAGTAATGTCAGATCTGCAAAGAGTCGAGCTTTACTGTACCTGTCGGTTGTGAAGTTGCCTATCAATATATATCTGACCCTCAGTAATGTAACCAGTAAGATCCGGAGTAGGATGAGTGATGTCTGAGTTTTAAAACAATAGATTTGCTCAATAAATAAAAAATAAAAAATAAAAAATAAAAGATAAAGGAGAAGAGAAGTGAAGTGATATGACTTTTTACCGTCATTGGGCATAGTCAGGATGGGGATTTGGGTAATGGAACCCTTTCTTCCTTCAATACGCCCTGCACGCTCATAAATAGTTGCAAGATCTGTATACATGTAACCTGGATATCCACGTCTTCCAGGAACTTCTTCTCGAGCAGCAGACACCTACAGTTTTTGGTTTTATTAAAACCTTAATCAAAGTTTTGAATCATGGGACAAAACATTTAGACCACTGAAAGACATTTTTACCTCACGAAGAGCATCAGCATAAGAACTCATGTCTGTCAATATAACAAGCACATGCTTCCCACATTCATAAGCTAAATATTCTGCGGTTGTGAGGGCAATTCGAGGAGTGATAATTCTCTCGATGGTAGGGTCATTTGCCTGTTGGAGTGTAATGCATAATAAGTTTCAATACATCATTGATACAATAGATTAGTACTATCAACGAGTAAAATAGAGCAAGAAGCATAAAAATCACAAGAAGTAATTACCAGGTTCAGGAAAAGTGTAACCCTTTCCATGGATCCATTTTCTTCAAAATCACGCTTGAAGAACTGAGCTGTCTCCATGTTTACACCCATAGCTGCAAAAACAATCGCAAAGTTGTCCTCCCCATGATCCTGGAATTATACAAGGGAAGAGATCAAAAGATTTTACTAGGCAAACAACATTACATAGGAATTCAGAGACTGAAATCATCACAAAGCAGGATACTCAATTGTCAAAGAAGTGAATTATCATGAAAAGTCAATAGTTTTATAAAGTATAACCCATTACATGTCCCACAGATTGTTAGAGATACTTAAATCCTTCTACATTAGTGAGAAAGTGAATGTGCGGACACACACACACACACACTTACACTACAGCATGATCTTCAGAATATAAAAAGTACTTTAATGGTTGTAATGGGGGCAAATGATTACCTCAATTAGGTTCTCAGTCTTTTCCAACCGCTTAACAAGACCAGCCTGACGACAAATTTGAGCAGCAATTTCGTTATGCGGTAAACCAGCAGCAGAGAAAAGAGGAATTTTCTGTCCACGAGCGATTGAGTTCATGACATCAATGGTAGAAATCCCTGTTTGTATCATCTCTTCAGGGTAGGTTCTTTCACTGGGGTTGATTGAGCTTCCTATAAATATTAGTTAACCGACACAATTAAAACAACACCAATTTTTTTGCTTCAGAAATCACACAATGATGCAATCAACACTCACCAGAAATATCAAGGTATGCCTCTGGCAAAATAGGAGGGCCATTATCAATTGGCTTTCCTGAGCCATTAAATATGCGCCCAAGCATGTCTTGTGATACAGGTGTTTTCAATACCTGAAACACATACCATGAACATAAAAGGTTAAACAAAAAGATTATACGCAATCCGTAGCTGCCAACCAAAAGTTTAACAAATTTGTGTAAGTAAGACTTAGGAGAAGAAGGCTTTATAGTAAATACCTCTCCTGTGAATTGCACAGTGGTAAATTTGTTGTCAATTCCCGATGTTCCTTCAAAAACCTGAAATCCGTAGATGAATAAGTTATTGTGGACAGAGAGCCTGTATAGCCTGTGCATAAATTGCATTGTACACCTAGATTCGTAAAGTTAGTGCAATGCAGAATTTAAGCTAGAATAACACAAGAAATTCACTAACCTGGACAACTGCTTTCTCCCCATCAACCTCCAGGACCTGACCACGTCTCATTGATCCATCTCCTAAGCGAATATTAACAATCTCCTGGTACTTTGGACCCTGTGGTATATATAAACAGTTGAATAAATTTTTCAAGAGAGAGTAAGTTTTCCTGAGAAAAGAAAAACCTTATATTTGGTGAAGAAGCTTCTAGTTATCAATGTTTTTACCTTCACTTTTTCAAGGATGACCAAGGGTCCCGCAACCCCAGAGACAGTTCTATACTCTACAATTCAAAAATTCTCAAATCAGTCTCTAACAAAGACAAACGTAGGAATAAAGCTAATATAATCAGCTACAGGAAAACTGATATTCATCAGAAAATAAACACATGTTTACACATAACTTCACAAAGTAAAAGGACTAAAAGCAACTCTACCTGGTTACTAAACTGAAAACAAAAACAATAAGCTGTTCGACATACCATTTCTAAACTCGAGAACCCCCCTAAATCAAACGAAATCAAACAACTATTCGATTATATTAGCCTACAGGCTAGGTCGCTCACTAAAGCTTGAACTGAAAGACAAAAAAAAAACCAGAAACGAGATTCATCTGTAACTACTTCTAAACTCCAAATTCGATCAAAAAAAAGGAAACGAGAAAGAATAAACCAAACGATCCCTTATCTATTAGTCAACCAACGTTTAAGAGATAAGAAGAAAACCAAAGATGATATGCGATCCATAATCGAGGACTTACCCATTCCGATCTCGAGAGCTCCTTCATCCATGTCGATGCTAGTCGCCCCCATTGTCACAGATCAAAATCAAATCGAATCGCTCCGACAATCCCTGGAAAAAAAAAATAGTCACAACGCGAGCAAAGCGATATCAAAATGAAACAAAATCAATTAAAATTCGATCCAATCATACGACAGGAGCCACGTGAAAGTGAAGAAGATGAGACGAGAAAGTCAAAAACGAATAATGAAGCAAGATCTGATGAACAAACCACGTACCTGGAACAAATCGATTCAAGCAGAGAGGGAGAGAGAAGAGAACGTGATTTCTGACTTTGTGTTACTATGATGCTGTGGCTCTCTGTGAAAACGTGGTTGGAGGATATCTAAAACATCTAATCATTCGAGTATTATTTTGTCCTAAAAATCTAAAATGAAATAATTTTTTTTCAACACATCTAAAATGATTATCTGTGGAGCGGTTGTTTTTTTTTTTCATTTTCCGGAAGATATTTTCGTTACTTAAAACTTTTATTTTCTTAAAGCAAAAGAAATAGCGCCCACCGTGGGGCTCGAACCCACGACCACAAGGTTAAGAGCCTTGCGCTCTACCAACTGAGCTAGACGGGCTTCCTGATGCTATAGTCTTTAATATTATTAATTACCTGATCTTAAGTTCCCAAAGATTCTTCAAAGCTTTTTTGTCATCTCTCTGAATTGACCTGCGATGTGTTTTTGCTAGGCATTTTTGCGGTTATGATGAGTTTTAACACGAGCCAATGTGCCTTATTTGTATAGACATTATGAACCAAATTTTTGCAAGTATCATGCACTATATATCTTCAGTCGATTTCCCATTCTGAAGGTCTTGATGAACTTATAATGAGTTGTATAGAAACAAATTACAGGATGTTCCAAAATCTTCGCGAAAAAAAAAATCCCCAAAAATGTCACCAGAAATCTCCACAAGAACAAATACCATCTTTAAAGTGATGAAACCTATTCGTATCTCTAACGAAAATCTCTCTACCTGCGTAACCAGATATGAATTTAATGACTGAATGGCAATCGCCGCATATCCTAAGGTTCTTTATGACCTGAAGAGGTGTACCGTCTGGTGTATTCAGAAGACCGAAAACTACTGCTAGTTTCTCGCTGTGTCCCAATAATATCTGCTCTTTCTCTTGCTCCTCCACATCTTGCAGAGCAAAATCCAAATTCGGACGATGGCCCGATTTTCTCATCTCTTTGCTAATCTCATCCATCTTCTCTGTTATTTGTTCAATCTGCGGATGCGACTTGTCACCAGCAAGAAGCGTGTACACTTTGTTCTTCACTTGAATCCAGCTGCATCCTGGGTTCTTCTTCAGTCCCAGACTCTCCATCTTGTTTCTAACACTGTCTACTTCTGCCCACATGCCTTTAGCGGCGTATATATTGGACAAGAGAACGTAAGTCCCTGGGTTCTCGGGTTCTAGATCGAAAAGCTTTTCTGCTGCGATCTCAGCTAAATCTACATTGTTTTGGAGTCTGCAAGAATTTAGCAAAGCTCCCCACACGCAGGAGTCTGGCTCAAAAGGTATCTCCTTTATCAAATCATATGCTTCTTGCAACTTGCCCGCGCGTCCAAGAAGGCTTACCATGCAAGAATAATGCTCCAACCTTGGTTTAATCCCATATTCCTCTGTCATCATGCCGAAATATTTCCATCCTTCATCTGTTAAGCCTACTTGGCTACATGCTGATAATAAACTTGTAAAGCTGATGAAATCGGGTTTTAACCTGGTTCTCACAAGAGAGTCAAATATGCTCATGACTTCCTTGGCCTTCCCATGCATCGAATATCCACTCATTAAAGAATTCCAGCAGACTAAGTTTCTCGTGGGCATCATATCAAAGACCATCTGAGACATGTTGATTCTTCCGCATTTGGCATACATGTCAATCAGAGCGCTCCCTACATGAACATCATCCAAAAGGTGGACTCGTACTGCAAAGCCATGAGCCGATCTCCCATGAACCAAAGCTGCTATATTTCCACATGCTGGGAGCATTGAAGGGATTGTTACACGGTTTGGCTTCACCCGAGCGACCTGCATTTCTCTAAACAGTTCCAAGGCTTCAATATCTTTCCCATTCTGTGCACACCCAGCTATGATTGAGGTCCATGACACGACATTTAGCTCTATATTTTGCTCCTTGAATAACTCAAACATTTCAAGTGCCTTGTCAATAAGACCGTTTCGTGATAACCCTGTAATGCATGCATTGCAAACCCCGGTCTCCATCAGCTCAACTTGTTCGAAAAGTTTTATAATTCCATAGACCTGACCGGATTTCCCGTACATATCGATCATTGCACTAGTGACACATTTATCCTTCAGCAGACCCTGTTTAATCACATATCCATGAATCTGCCTCCCCATATCCAGTTTCTCTGAGTCTCCAACAGAAGGAAGAACACTTGAAACTGCAACCTCATCAGGAAAAAACCCCAGATGATGCATCTTCTGGAACATTATCACTGCTTCCTCGTGATACCCGCTACGATTAAACCCACTTAGAATACCATTCCAAGACACGATATTCGGTTCAATACCTGATTTTTCCATCTCAGAAAGGATACGAACCACGTCTTCCAGGCAACCCTTTCTTGCATAGCCACAGAGCAAAGCACTGCAAGTCACAACATCTTTCTCAGACATTCTATCGAACACTTTTCGTGCATCCCCCATCCTACCGCACCTCATGTACATATGAAACAAAGACCCCTGAACAAAAGCATCCTCATCCAATCCCAAAGTACACGATACACAGTGAATCTGTTTACCTGCTTTAAAAGCCGATAATTCAGCACATACTTTGAACAAATTCGGAAGAACATGGGTATCTGGAATCAACCCATGAGAGAACATCCGAGAAAACACGCCAAGCGATTGCGAGAAAAGCTTAGCCTTAGTTAACGCGTATATAAGAGAAGAGAAAGAGTAAACAGAGGGATCCGGAATCGATTGCAAGATGAGATTTGCATCGTCGAAGCAACTATAGTTCGAGTAGGAAGCAATGAGTTTAGAGGAGATATAGCCATCGTTCTGTGCTCCGGATTTTAGTATACGAGCATGAGCTTGCGTTGTCTTCGTTAACGAAGAAGACCAACAAGATGGAGAAAATTCTAAGAATCCGAGTATCGATTGAGGAATTTTCTCTATCAGTGGAAGAACTTGTTTTGTCATCGCTTAACTAAAATAAAATTTCCCGCTTAACATCAATCACTTATATATCCTCCACGCCATTAGATTCTTCCACGTCATCACAATCCGAAATTAACTGGGTCTCACTTAGTTTCCGAGCAATCTTGGCCGTTGATTTCCATCTTCTCCGTGACTCCGTCTTGAGTTTTTTGTTTTGTTTTAAATCTCTCCTTTTAGGAATAATCGGTCCAGAGATAGAGAGAGAGAAAGCGAAAATGATTGGTAAGGCTTTATGGTTCCTTGTCTTCCTCGTCGGAACAAGCGTACATGCGCAGCTACTACCTCCGGCGAGGCGTGATGGATTCGTGTATCCACCGGGTCGGAAGATCGACCCGAATACGATACTTATCGAAGCGTATATTGACCCGGTTTGCTCCGATTGCAGAGACGCTTGGGAACCGCTAAAGCTAGCGATTGATCACTATGGATCTCGCGTTGCCCTTGTTCTTCATCTCATTCCTTTACCGTCAGTGTTTGATTTCTCCTCCTCCCATTTGATTTTCCTTTCAATTTCAGTTTTCAATTTCTTAGCTAGGTTTACAATTAAGTTCAGTGATTTCTTGATTCTTTTTCTCCTGACGCATGCCATGAATATTTGTCGTAACTTCAGTAGACAATTTGTTGTATGCATAATGTATCATTCTTGTTGTGTGATGAAGCTCTTCTGTTTTTTTCTTATGGATCTTGCAGCTTCCATGACAATGCCTTTGTAGTATCTCGGGCTTTACACATTGTGAATACCTTAAACGCCAATGCCACGTTCAATTTGCTGGAAGGAATCTTCAAGCATCAGGTCTAGTTAGTGTAATGATGAAAAGAAAATAACAAAACACAAAAGGATCGTTTTTTATCCCGTTAAAAACTAAACTTTTCTAAAAGCAAACAGGAAACAAAAATTTTATCAGGCGGTTCTGTTTTCTTGAAATGAAATGTTGATCTATGCATTCCATTTCGCTGTGATTCAATGAAGCTTTGTCTGACTTTTTATATTTGTTTTATGATCAATACATATGGTTTCAACAGGCATTGTTCTACAATTCGCAAACACAACTCATGACAAGACCTGCAGTTGTGGACAAACTAGTCAAGCTCGGAACAGTTACACTGGGAAGCTCATATCATTCTCCTCTGAAATCTGGCTTCAGCAACTCAAATTCTGATCTTGCCACTAGGGTTTCCTTCAAGGTGATCCCTTCAGCTTGACACAGTTTAGTATCTTTCAATCATTTATTCAAGGAATCAAAATGGCTTATTCGATGTGGTCCTATGCATCCTTGATCATATTAGATTGTCAACTAGAACATCAAATGGACAGATAAGGATCCTTCACAGCATAGCCACTAGTCATTTGTCTTGGTGTGCAGTAGTCAGTAGAAAGAATTTGGGATTCCATTGCTTGACTTTTCGTAGCGTACCTTGCCTTTTGTCATTTACTCATTAGAGCTTTGATAATAGATGTTGTCCACTCCATAATTCCTTTGCTTTTGTTCTGTTTGCAGTATAGCGTTTCCAGAGGAGTATCCGCGACACCAACCTTCTACGTGAATGGGTTCGAGCTTCCCGATGCTGGTTCTCCTATAGATTTTGAAGGATGGAGAAACACCATTGATCCTCTGGTTAAACCACAAGAAGTAAAGATACGAGACACCTTCCTCTCATTCCTCACGCAACCATCTTATTAGTATAGTTCTTAACATGCTGTGTCAAACTCGCACAATATACATATTCAATTCTCCACATTCTGTCTGTAAAATAATAAGCATTACTCTCATACATTTTCTTTTGTTACATGTTCAAATCTTCACAGATGTAAATATTTGACCAAAATTTCAGAAGTGCTAAGGAGTTTTCATAGTTTTTTGAACTATTAATTCTATTTAGAAATGTAGAACTAAGTAATATTAACAGTTTAAGTAATGACACGTGAATTGGCTTGAATGAAAACAGATTTTAATCCATGTTTTCTTTTCCTGAGCTCTTAACTTTAATCCTAACTTTGTAAAGAGTGACAGATCAACTACATAAAAGTATATAACATGTGATAATAATGTTCTAGTGAACAGAGAATTTCCATTAAAATTGACATCTGGATTTTCTTAAACACTTTATTCAAGATTTTAGGAAAAAGTCCAAGACCATTTAGACTTCTTTGCCCACGGAAAACCATTTGTGGACTTTTTCCTTCTACATTTTATGCAGTTGGATAATCTTCCAGGAGAGAGGCTGTACCACGAATATTGAGTTTGACCAGAATGGTCCACCTGTACCAAAGTTTTCGCAACTAAACCGAAAAAATTGTAGCAATACGATTTCGGTAATTTGTTTCTTAAATGGTTGTATGGTTGTTTCTTATATACCAAAAGAAAGTTCCTTTTAGTTCGAAAATTAAGATATGGACCAAGAATTTACTTGTAATCCACCCTTTATTTTGGTAACTCGATAAATTAGCGAATATATCATTGCGAACCATGAATTAGGAAAATATTATTCGGTTATGAACGGTTCGGTTAGAATTGGTTTGAAGTCAAAAGTGCTAACCGGAAATCGATTAGGGCAGTTCACTGGTGCATGTGTGTGTGGAAGAGAAGTTGTGCGGCTATTATATATGAGAGGCGCCTGCAACAAACCGCTCTAAGAAGAAACCGTATCAAAACAGTGCTCTCGTCCAAATTCTGGGCAAAAACAGCCATTCTCGCTTATCCAAATCTTCTAAGGTTTCGGAGGATCTAACCAGAACAGTCGCTCAAGGTAAGCATTCAAGCGATTTGTGAGGATTGTATAAGAAAACCTGATTCTAATTAGTAATATTTGTGGTCGTTTCGTTCATTGAACCTCGTGAATGAAAACCCCTAGTTTCGTCGCTGGTTTTTGAGAAGGGGCTCTTCTGATTTTGTGTTGTTTTCGGTGGGATTTTCCCTTTTTTTTGGCGGTCTATTCTTCAGATGGACAAGTATAAGCGAGTGGAGAAGGCGAAGGAGGGGACGCCGATTGCTGAGAACGAGATTCGTATCACCAGTATGGGTAGGCCGCGAAACTACATCACCTATGCAATGACTCTTCTTCAGGTATTGTGTTTCTTCGTTGAATCTGAAAACGTTTGTTGTTTATTTAGTTTCTTCTATGGTTTTGAACATTTCTGTGACTGTTTCCTGACAGCAGAATGATATTATTGAGCCTGTTATTAATTGGTGGAGGTAGAGATTTTGGTAATATATGGTCTAGAATTATCTAAACGTTTACTTGGAAGTTCAAATCTGCGGTTTCGAAGAATCTAGTTGCGCTTTTTCTCTTCTTAAAACTGGATGCATTTTTGGTGCTTAGATTGGTATCTTACGTTTGATAATATTTGGGTAGTGTCTTTGCTTTTGATTCTCTGCGTATAATAGAATTTTTTCTTTGATATAGGAGAAAGGGTCGAATGAAGTTATTTTCAAGGCAATGGGGAGAGCTATTAACAAGAGTGTGACCATCGTGGAGCTGATTAAGGTATGTTTTTGGTTTGTTTGTTCCAGATCATAAAGGAGTGTTCTATTGTATCTGATAATGTTCTTGTAATCTCTAATGCAGAGAAGGATTCCTGGTCTTCACCAGATCACATCTATTGGATCCACGGACATAACAGACACATGGGAACCTGAAGAAGAAGGCCTTCTTCCGTAAGTGGTCAATTGATGTTTTAATTATTTTGGGACTCATATTACCCTGTTGTCCTTACTTTTGTTACTTCGACCTGTTATTTATTACCTTGTTATTTTCTCCTGAAGAATCGAGACAACAAGGCATGTGTCAATGATAACTATAACACTCTCGAAGGAAGAGCTGAACACATCCTCAGTTGGGTGAGTTTCTAGTGCTTGTCGTTTAGTTATTTCCTGGCCCAGTTTCCAGATAAAGATATTGTTGTGTAATAACCAAGGCTGTGTGTCTCAATCAGTAGTCTGCTAGAGAGGTACATTGTCTCTAATACCTTATGAAATGATGTTGCAGGTACCAGTGTCCGATTCCTATTGAGATGGTGAAGCCATTAGCTGAGATTGATCACGAAGGACGAGGTACTTAGTGTCTCTCTTTTAATAACGTTTTCTTCAAGCTTACCTGGGTTGAAGTCTTTTAATAAATTCACAATCTATCTATCTGTTGTAGAGGGATCACCTAGAGGCAGAGGAAGAAGAGGCAGGGGAAGGGGAGGAAGGGGAAGAGGTGGCAGAGGTAAAAATTGCTTTAGCAATTTTGCTATTAAAAATCTTAGTTTCACCGGAGCTGGTTCCAAGTTTTTGATTTGATTGTGGTATTTCTTGTCGGGATATATCAGGAGATGGACATGTGAACGTTCAGTATGATGACGGAGGTATGGAGCCTGAGCGGCCATCTGGCAGAGGAAGAAGAGGGCGAGGAAGAGGAGGTGCACGTGGTGGTGATGGAAGAGGAGGTTACAATGGTCCTCCACCTTACTATGAAGCCCAACACGATGGAGGAGAATACGGATACAATGGTCCTCCTCCACATAATCATGAGTATGATGATGGAGGTATGGAGCGTGAGCGGCCATATGGTAGAGGAAGAGGGCGCGGGAGAGGAGGTGCACGTGGTGGTCGTGGAAGAGGAGGTTACAATGGTCCTCCACCTTACTATGAAGCCCAACAAGATGGAGGAGAGTATGGATACAATGGTCCTCCTCCACAAGATCATGGATATGATGCTCCTCCTCAGGGCCGTGGTACGTTGATGTTTTAAAACACTAATGTTTTCTCAATACATGATAGTTAAACCGATTTGCCATGAGTTTGAGTTTTTAAATGTTAAATTTTGTTTTTGTTGAAACAGGACGTGGCCGTGGAAGGGGAGGCCGTGGAAGAGGAGGCGGCCGTGGTGGATACAACAGATCAAATGGACCACAGATTCAGGCAGCTGGTTAAGTGACCGGGGTCGTTGAACGGACTTTGTTCTTTTCCTTAATTCTTCATTCTCTATGTTTTTCTCTCTCCATCGGAAACATGATGTTGCCGTAGCATTATTTTTTCTATCTTTCATGTTTGCCTTTAGGTTATAAATATGTTCATTTATTCTATGGATTTTTACCTTGAGATTTCTCCAGCTTTTTGTTCCTTCCAACAGTTTTCCAGTTTTGTCTCTGTTTTTGAGTTACAAGTTATGGTATTGACTTTACTCGCACGAAATATGTTGGGAGTCTGTAAATTCCCCACGTTTTATTGTTTATAACTTCACCTAGAAGTGATCCATTTCTTTCAACGCGTTATGTGATTGCATTATGACACGATTACCTTATCGTTTTTACTTTTTATTTTTAACAACGGAGGAAAAGATCGCAAGAAAAATCTAGTAAATTGAAAATCCGACACCCTGTGAGGACCAAAAATAAATAAAAAATCAGCCAAAGGTGCTTAAAAAAGTTTTCGCCGTTGCCGGGGATCGAACCCGGGTCACCCGCGTGACAGGCGGGAATACTTACCACTATACTACAACGACTTTATTGCTCGAGGTTTATATTATAATGAATTTAAAAAATATCATTTACAAAGCTGTCTTGAACAAAAAGAAAAATACTTGGGAAAGGAAAAGAGTCTTAGCAGCATCAGTTCATCTTCAAATCTGATCCATCATTGCCAGTTTCTCCTCGGCGAATTCCGTTCTGTCAACTTAGTAAGCTCTCTGTGGTCGTCTATCTCAGTCAATTAAACTGCTACAAACTTTAATCGATTCTTAGAGATCTCTACGGCTTAGTTGCGCTTCCGCAAAAAACCCTAACCTCCATTGTCTTTTTGTCTTCGTGAAGAGGAGCACCGAGATTTGGCCAGGATGACTCAGGACGTGGAAATGAAAGAGAACCAGACACCTTCTCAATCGATCATCTCTTCTACTACCTCCACGATGCAGCGTAAATCTCGATCCCTACTCTTCAACTCGCTAGAATTCCTAAATTTGCTAAGCTCAGTTTTGAAAATCTTGAAGTTTATACTCATCGATTTCAAACCTTTTTTGGTATTCTTAGATTTGAAGGAGATTGCAGCGTTGATCGATACTGGGTCGTATACAAAGGAGGTTCGCCGTATTGCTCGTGCTGTGCGTCTCACTATTGGGCTTAGGCGGAAAATCACTGGCTCCGTGCTATCTTCTTTCCTGGATTTCGCTTTGGTTCCAGGATCCGAAGCTCACTCTCGCCTTTCTTCATTTGTTCCCAAGGTACTTATGGGTTTTAGTTCTGGACTTTGATGTGGTAATATATGATTTTTTTTTCAGTTAGCTTCTCGCTTCAGGAAGTTTAGGCTCATGTTATGGTGATTATACTTTCTTTCGATGTTGTGAAACGTTTTCTGAATCGAGGTGGTGTAGATACTGAACATTGAACTTATACTGGTTTAGGGTGAAGAATACGACATGGAAGTTGATACCGCTTCATCGGCCACACAAGCAGCTCCTTCGAAGCATCTACCTGCAGAGCTTGAGATCTATTGCTACTTCATCGTTCTTCTTTTTCTGATTGATCAGAAAAAGTACAACGAGGTTACTGCTGCTGCCTCTTTGGGTTTTTTCATATGTTACTTTTCTGTTGTGGTTTTGATTTCATGAATTGCTTTTAATCATATCTTAGGCCAAAGCTTGTTCTTCAGCAAGCATTGCTCGCCTCAAGAACGTGAATAGAAGGACCATTGACGTGATAGCTTCACGACTGTTCTTCTACTATTCTTTGAGTTACGAACTAACCGGCGACCTTGCTGAAATTCGTGGGTTAGTATAGCTCACATACTGGTTGTTTTAGTTCTGTACTTGTTCTTACTTCCTACACATCATATTAATCAGTAGCTCAACAGTTAATTATCTGGTTAACTTGCAGAACTCTTCTTGCCTTGCATCATTCTGCAACACTACGCCATGATGAGTTGGGTCAGGTATGTGTCTGTTTAGAAAATGCAACCTACGTTCATTACTATGAAACTTTTGTTTGCCACTTACTGAAAAGTATCGTACTGAATGCAGGAAACACTTCTAAATCTGTTGCTTCGTAACTACCTACACTACAACCTGTATGACCAGGCAGAGAAGCTAAGATCAAAGGCACCTCGATTTGAGGCACATTCAAACCAACAGGTAGCTCTTTTTGTTGTTTATGTCTTTGTACTCTAATATATCGCGGTTCTCTAGATTATGTTTTCTAATGAGATCTCCAATGTTCTACATATGCTAACTGTTTAGAGAATAGTTCCTCCATTTGCTTAAGCATTTACACTTGGAGTCATATTACAAGTTATTGTCCAACTTAGTTGAGGTGTTCTGTTTTGCTATCTTGTTTATACCGTTGATACTGCCTCTTATCATTATATCTGATCTAGCGTATGTTCTTTTTCCTTGCTACATGCGAATCTTCTTATATTTGATTTCCTCCCATAGTAACAATTTAAAAAAATAAGAGGATTTGTTTTATGATAGATGGATTACCTCAAACTATATACTTTGCAGTTCTGTAGGTATCTCTTTTACCTTGGGAAAATCCGAACCATTCAGCTCGAGTATACAGATGCAAAAGAAAGCCTCCTTCAGGCAGCCAGGAAAGCCCCTATTGCAGCTCTTGGATTTAGAATCCAATGCAATAAATGGGCGATTTTGGTTCGCTTGCTGCTGGGTGAGATTCCAGAGAGGTCAATATTCACTCAAAAAGGAATGGAGAAGGCTCTGAGGCCTTACTTCGAGCTTACGAATGTGAGTCCACCTTCATAATTTTGCTCTTGTGGCATAATCTTAAGATATCACTAAACAACCATTAGCATAAGCTACCTCACCTTTGTGTTACACTTTGCAAATTACTCTCGTTGGCCTATACATTCACTGTTGTTTTCTGCTACCTCAAACTATTAAGAGGATGAATTTCTGGCTAAAAGATTTGTCTCACTATATACTGTTGCCTTTTGGAGACGTATGATGCAAAAAAATTACTGATTCTGATCTGAAAGGTACGGTTAATAATATGTTTCAATTTTTGCAGGCGGTGAGGATTGGGGACTTGGAGCTATTCAGGACAGTCCAAGAGAAGTTCTCAGACACATTTTCTCAAGACCGAACGCACAATCTCATCGTAAGACTCCGCCACAATGTCATCAGGACTGGACTTCGCAACATAAGCATCTCATACTCGAGAATCTCCCTTTCTGATGTCGCCCAAAAACTGAGGCTCAACTCTGAAAACCCTGTGGCTGATGCGGAAAGCATCGTGGCAAAGGCCATACGCGACGGAGCCATTGATGCTACCATCGATCACAAAAACGGGTGCATGGTCTCCAAAGAGACAGGGGACATCTACTCTACGAATGAGCCACAAACAGCGTTTAACTCAAGAATAGCTTTCTGCCTCAACATGCATAACGAGGCTGTCAGGGCTTTGAGGTTTCCTCCTAATACCCACAAGGAGAAAGAGAGCGATGAGAAGAGGAGAGAGAGGAAGCAGCAAGAGGAAGAGTTGGCCAAGCATATGGCTGAAGAAGACGACGATGATTTTTAAAGAAAGTTAATCTCCGGTAGAGTTTGTCTACACTCACTCTGTTTCTTGTTTCTGCTGAAACTCTACTTTTTATTTGACCCTTCATTTTAAGAGGATTTTTTTTATTCTCCGGATAATTTTTTACTGTACCTTTTTATTACTTTGGTTTCAACTTTAGGAAAAGAGATTCATATTATTGGTTTCCGAAGATTTGAATCTTTTCAACTTCGTTTAATGGTGTGTTTGGGAGATTTTTGCAATGAAGAATTGGATACTTTCAATCTTTTAGCTAACTGTATTAGGCGGGTCATTATTAGAACATTGGCATGTGAAATGTTATCATCTCCAGGCTATGCAAATTATAATATAATCAAGGCCGCAATAATCTTTTTACTCTTGGATTTGGATGGTAGAGACTCTAAATATCAGAAGAATGAAGACAAGACATGTGTATGACCGAGCATTAAATAGTTGATACATTAATCTACTCCTGCCAAACTAGGTTTCATTTTCTTAATAAAACAATCTCATGGTATGGTTTAAATTATAGGTGTGATTCATCAATTTCTCAATAATGATGAAAACCAGTAATAAATTCCCGGGCTCCTTGATGGCTACAACTGCCAACAATTTAACCACATATCAATGTCATATTAGGCTTAAAGTTTCTTACACTCTAATCAAGACTAAACAAGGTCCGCTTAACACTGCGAAATTTATGTAGTAGTTTAGTATTGTTGTGAAAACTTCTTAGAAACTTTATTAATCACTGGAATGTATATATAGAGTACATAGGGAATCTAGGTTAAGTACAATGCCCTGATGGGCCTAATGGGCCGGTATAAGAGTCCATATATGATATGTGTTATAACACTCCCCCTTGGACGAGTGAACCGGGTCATCTACTCAATCGGGATCTCGATAATGCGCTGGGGAATGTTGCCTCATTAAAACCTTACCAGGAAAAACCCAGTGGGACAAAACCATGGTGAAGGAAAAAGAGTACAACACGCATTACTCCCCCTGATTGTAGCATCACTGCAGATCTCTAAGTCTATACATTCCTATCTGTTTGACGAGCTTCCGGTGTGTTGAAGTAGGCAATGATTTGGTGAAGAGGTCAGCTGAATTCTCACTGGATCGGACCTGCTGAACGCTGAGAGTGCCGTCCTTCTGCCAGTCTGAGGTTGAGAAGAACTTCGGTAGAATGTGCTTCGTCCGATCTCCTTTGATATATCCTTCCTTGAGCTGAGCTATGCATGCCGCGTTGTCTTCATACATCACCGTGGGCTGTGTGTCTTCGTCCATACCACAATCTCTGCGGATGTGCTGAGTCATGGAGCGCAGCCAGACGCATTCCCTACTAGCCTCATGAATGGCTAGGATTTCAGCATGGTTTGATGAAGTGGCAGTGAGTGTCTGCTTCATTGATCTCCAAGAGATGGCTGTTCCTCCATGCGTAAAAACGTAGTCAGTTTGAGACTTGGCAGTGTGCGGATCTGATAGATATCCTGCATCGGCGAAGCCGACTAACCCATCTTTATTTTGGTTAGTATAGAAGAGTCCTAAGTCTTGAGTACCTCGAAGGTATCTTAGGAGA